AATAATAAATGTGAAATATATGCATAAGCCATTGGTTGCAAGATTACTTTCAAATAAAAGTTGGAAATTATTGCTGGTACAAAACTTTGTTGTATGTGAACTCAATAATTTTAAACTAAGGAATGCAAGAAATATTTTGTCACTTTTATAGATAATTGCTCATATTTATGTGTAGGCTTATCTAGTAAAAATAGTGGATAAAATATTTGATATGTTTCGCATGTAAATCCCTAGTCTAAAATTACTCTAGTAGGTAAAACGGACAAGTATTTAATAAACAACAAATAGTTTGGCTAAAAATATAAAACTCTATGTGTCATGGCAATGCTATGCTAGTGATTTTAAGTAGCCAAAAAGTTTGTGGAATAAACATTATTAAATACTTGTCATGTGTACAATGAAACTCCCTAAAGACTAAGTGTCTCCATGTGAAATTTGGAAGGGAAGAAAATTTTATTGTCTAATATAAAAAGTTCAAAGTGAGACTACATATTCTTATGTTCCTAGTTGGGACCAAGAACACTTAAGTATCTAGGTATATGACCACTAAAGTATCTAAGGTACTTATCATTGATTATAATGTATTAAAATAATCAATGGATTTAGATTCATTTAAAATTTGTTTTTAAAGTTTCTAAACCAAGTACCGAATGTATCATCTAGTGAACCTTTTAGTTTCCAAAGTGCATGTGGTTCTATAAGTGAACCAAAGATAAAGACATTGACTTTCTGGTTTAAACAAAGTCTAAAGTTTATGAAAGTTCTCTTGGAAGTTGTATCCTCTAAGGCTACTGTCTTACTAGTGAGAGCGAAAAAAATACTCTACTAAGTAAAACTTTATGATGGTTTTTGTAGAGTAATTTAAAAACTATAAGTTTTTTGAATTTTAGGCTGATGCATTAGGAAAGAAGAGTTAATCATGGAATGGATTTGACATTATCAAACGATGTATGTGTCCAAATTGATTTAACTTGAAAGGATCTAGACTAGTACATTGTAAATGGTTATTCCATTAGTAATATGCTATTGATAAAAAGATACATCAACTGTATATTTGGACTTGAAGTGTCATGATTGCTTTGATTAGTTTGACTTGCTTATTTTATCCTACTGGCTAGAAGTTTCCTTTTAAGTTTTTCATGTTCACTTGTGAAATGTGGAAAGTATTATCCTAGTGGTGACTTATATGAAAATTTGTATTTGGAACTTCTTAATGCTTTGTGCTATGAAGTGATAAAAAGATGTGTGTACTAGTGAAGTCTTGATTTGATTTTATACAAATGCATGATGGTTTATCTAAGTTACTCTCACATGGTGCATATATGTTGTAAATTGCATATGTCAAAAGTTTGTGAAGAGTATGTAATAGATATATGTTTTTGTATAAATATCTATGTTCAGTGCATATACTAATTTCAAAAACGTGCAGCGGACACTAAGACAAATCCTTTTTCTAAGTTCAAATTAAATGAGCTTGGTGAAAGAGGTAATGGCTTAGTCATTATACTGAAGGAAATAGTGGGGGTTTTGTACTTTCTTATTCATATGATGTTAATAAGTTATTAACAAAGTGTCAACATGTGAATATGAAGAAAGTTTGTACTCATGATTTTATATTTAACATTTGTGTTAAATATGACAATCCAATTACTAAACTAGAATCTTCTAGTGACGTTGGATGTCTTGTATATGCATTAGAGTTGTGTTAACACATTCTATGTGGTATGTGACTCACTGATTACACTAAGTGCCTAGTAAGATCATTGCAAATCTATTGCTAAAATCATAATGTGTCTTTGAAAGACTAAGGATTATGATTTTATTAAAACTGATTAGATATATGTTGTTCTTGAGGGCTATTCAAATGCTAGTTGGTATTCTAGCGTTAGTGATTATTACCCGTTAGTGGTTAAAAATTCATGCTTGGTAGTGAGATATGTTTCTTGATAAGTGAAACAAACAGTAATCACTCTCTCTAATATATAAAAGAAAGAAAAGCTGAATTTGTTGAATTATCTTTAGTACACAAGGAGGTGAAGTGGCCAAAGGATCCTGGCCTGTGTCGCATGTAACCTTGTGTTGTGATAGATTAATATGTCTTGAAAATTGTGTAAAATTTGATAATGGGTAAATATAGACATATGAATTCAAGATATGTATTTCTTAGTGAGATACAAATGTTGATGTTGTCGGTGTTGTGTTTGTGAAAACACAATTTTGTTATGGATCCATGTACCAAATCTTTTGCGAGAGAATTGGTGTTTTTTGACAAGATGAGGAATGGGAGTAAAATCTCAATACTAAAATCACAAACAATGGAAATCCAACCTTCTTCTAGTACTACCCCTAGATTGCAAGGTTTAAAGGGTAACAACAAGTTGTTTGTGGTTGTGAGCACCAAAATTCGTATATACCAGTCCAAGTATTGGTGCATTATATATGTTACTCTTAAGTGAGCAGGTTGAGAGAAATCTCTTAATGGAATTATTCTCGGGCGTTTCATTACGGTATAGTAATAAACTGGAATAATTTTCACCTATTTGATCATAGAAGTGGTGTCGCTTCTAGCAAAAGTTTGAGATTATCTTTTGTATATGATCAAGAATCTAGGATGAGCATATGGCCGGTAATAGTGCTAAATCATAATGTGAATTATAAAGAATTCTATGAGCGTTTGTGCGTGCATTATTAAGTCTAGACTAGACTGATTATTGGTTTAAGCAACGAGCCACCAATAACTTAGCTAGTTAGGTGACTTAATTTCACTACGATGTGGTTTAAGACGAAAGTTACCACCTCTTAAGCGCGATTCTCATGATTGTGTAATTATTTTATATTACAAACTAAGTGGAGGAATGTTGGAAATTTTAGTTTGTAAAATAAAATAATTAATTTAGAATTTAAGGATAATAATTAAGTTGGCAACCCTCACTTGCATGGTGGTTATTTCCTACAAGCCAAGGGTTGTGTACTTAATTTGTATCCTTTGTTTTTGCAAGTGTTGCCTATAAATAGGTGGAACTAGTGCAGGATTTCATTCTAACTTTTGCATTCCTAAATTCTGGAGAACATTCAATAATTGCAAGTTGCATGTTCTTGTGTTCTTTATGTTCTAGAGGCAAATTGCAAACAAACACGGTATTGCAACATGGAGGGGGCAAATATTGTCTTAAGGAAGTGTCTAACACGATTAGAACACATCCAAATCTTGTGATTCCCCCATTATTGTTAGATTCAAGTTTCTACAATAAAGTTTATAAATCTTTCGTCTTTATTCTTTAGTGTCTTTTGTGTTGTCTCTTTGATTACCACACCATATACTTTCATTTAGTTGTTTTGGGATCTGCTCCCTAATGCCAGCCAATGATACCAATCTCTATCGTCGCTCAGTGCAAGGTAGTTTACTTTCGTAAAACTTTGCAATTATTAATATTTTAATGAACTGGATTAAATTGAGTTACTCGTGATTAGTTTTGGACAGCGATTGGAGTTGTAATTTTTGTGTTTTGTTTGTTTTAGTAAAAGTTTTGATGTAATTATTCTTATTGTTTGGGAAGCTTCCCTAGAAAAGCTGTTGGAGTGAGATTTGGCGGAGGTGCTTCTGTAGAAGCCGCTCCAGCTAAGGTGTCCAAGGTTGTAGTACATTTCAATTGAAGTTCTCGATTTTGCATGTACAGGTGTAATAAAAACTTGATTTTGTTTGAATTTGAGTTCAAGGTTGACCCAACTAGTATTCCATGAAATAAACAGTTCTTGAATGCTAAAGTATGAATTTGTGTATGTTTTTGTAGATGATAGATTCAATCTCTGATATAGAGAAATATTGGTTTCCTTTGTGGTTTAAGTTCGTGGCAGTGTACAAAAGAAACTACATGTTTAGAAATACACCTACGTCGATGAACAAGAAATGACTTTGTTGCATCTTACATATTTTGTCGAGAAGGAGAAATGACTTCCTCTCTAAACACTTTGATAGTAATATAAACAGTGTTCATTTGGCTTGTTGTTGTTTTATTTTCATATGAGATGAGGAAACGTTTATCATTTGCATAGAGACGTGGATACGAGAGGTCAATCTATAGATTCTTGTCCGTCTTGTTACAATTGTTAGTTCCTATTTGTACTTTGTAGCTTAGAATGAACAAATTCTCTTATAACTTTTCATCTGAGTCAGTATATGCTGAATATATATGGTATAGGAAAGGAAGGTGCCTAGGGATAATGGTAAGAGCAATACGAAATAGTGGCAATAACGGCCTTTTAGTTGCCACTAAGCCATCTTTTGTAAATTCTATGGCTGATAACCTTTTTTCCTAAATGTAGTTCAACGGGCTGGTTGCTAAATGATGTGAAAAAAGTTCCAGGAAATGGTGAAAGCATTACAGCAAATCTTCATAGAGCAACTGTTAAAAAGAGTTACATGTGATTAAGACTACAAGAGAACTGAAACAAGTCTACAATGTTGAATCCTAATACTTGAACAGCTAGATTACAACAAGAACCACTGAAGCGGAAAACAAGAAGCAACTGAAGAAAGCAAACACTACAGTTTAGTATGTAACCTTAAAAATCATTTGCTTCAGAATTCTCACTTCTTAGTTTGTTGAATTTAGGCTCTCTTTGGACCGTGTTTAGATTTAATCTTTTCATTTCAACCTGGTAGCACAGATCATTCAACCCGAGAGATCAATCACTATTTTATTAATAGAATGCGTTGCGCGACGAGTGATAGAACTAGTAAATAATTAAAGTCTATCTCCTCTCGGAAAAGGAAAAAGAAAAAAAATATAAGAAAAAAAGAAATATTACAGTAGAACATCGAATACAATTAGGAAACGTAATCTGTCACGATAAATATATATCATATATATGTTCCCTATAGGCTACAAGTATTATGAATAATATAGAACTCTCATAAGTAAAACCCTAGACAAACACCTCTATCTGCTTTGATTTATTCTCTGCAAACTGAAAACAGAACACCTTAACTTGATCCGAAGATGTCGGACGTGGTGGAAGAAAATATCCTTTTTGATCATGATAGTGATGGTGGCGATGATGATGACGTTGACGACCTCGACCTAGGCTATAATGGTCTCACTAACATAGAGGCGGAAAATCCTCCAGGTCAATGGGATGACACGGTGGAATTCCGCGTCTTGGGCGGCCGAGAGATTCAGACCCGTGTGGAGGCTCATATCTCGAAGATCTCTAGCCTCATCTCGGTTTCTAAAGAAGCCGCTCTTGTTCTATTGTGTAAATATCGCTGGGATGTTGGCCGGATTCTGGATGAATGGTTTTCTGACGAAAACAAAATCCGGCAGGCGTGTGGGCTGGTAAAATTTACAGAGGACGATTCTTCCCGCGCCGGAGGGAATCGTAAAGGCGAATTCTTTTGTGGGATTTGTTTGGAGACTTATCATCATGACGCGGTGAACAGTTTCGCGGTCAGAACTGCCTGTGGCCATCTCTATTGCGAGAATTGCTGGAGAACTTATGTCAGCACTGCCATTAACGGCGGCGCGGGATCTCTATATCTGAGATGCCCTCAGCCCAATTGCGGGGCCTCTGTTTCCGACATGATTACTTCATCCGCATCCGATGAAGACAGGGCAAAGTACGAGAATTATATCTTGAGTTCCTATGTCGGAAGTTTTAAATACATCAAGCGCTGTCCTGCTCCGGAGGGATGCGAATTCGCTGTCGAATGTTTGTTTAGAGGTTTCGGTAACTACAATCCCTGCTACCTCAATGTCACTTGTAAATGTTCGTATCAATTTTGCTGGAATTGTTTAGAAGAAGCTCATAGCCCGGTAGATTGCGAAACAGTGGCGAAATGGAGATTGGAAAGCGTCTCCGAATCACATAACGTGGAATGGATCTTAGCCAACACAAAATCTTGTCCAAAATGCAAAAGAAGGATTGAAAAATATGGTGGTTGTGACGAAATATGTTGCGCAGAGCCTTGCGGATTCTTTTTCTGTTGGATGTGTTTAAGTCCTATGTCTGAACATGACAACGTGGTCTGTGGTCTGTACAAGGAAGGTAAGAAGGGCGAGTTTAATGAAGAAGAGGAGATCAGGCAGAAGGCGAAGAATTCACTCGAGAAATTCTTGCATTATTACGATAGATGGGTGATTAACCAAAACTCCAGGATGAAGGCATTGGCGGATATGAAACAATTGCGGATTAATTCGGAGAAATTTAGGAACATTCATCACTTGCCAGTGTGTCGTGTTCAGTTCATCATGGATGCTTGTGCTCAGGTTGCGGAATGCCGGAGGGTTCTGAAATGGTTGTACGCATTCGGGTATTTTCTGCAGGTGGAGGAGAAGATTGGGCCGGCGAAGAAGGCGTTCTTCGATTATGTATGCGCGGAAGCAGAGTCTACCTTCGAGAGACTCCGTGCTTCGGTTGAGGAAGAGCTTCCGAAACACATTCGCGAAAGAGCTCATCCGGCCAAACTCATGAGTTTCGGGACGAAAGTCGCTAATCTGACGAGGATCAATCGGACTTACTTTCAGAACTTGGGTAAAGGAGTGGCCACTTGTGCATCGAAGGAGAACCAACCATGATACAACAATCTGACTCCTGACAACATGTGCTGTGCTCGTGGAACAATTTGATCACAATTCTAGTTTAATTTTCTAGGATTTCAAATGGTTTTAGAAGCAGGGGCGAAGAAGTACAGAACTTAGTATGAATGGCAAGAGGGGTCTTATTTACTGTTTTCTAGCACATTGTAGGGGTGTACTACTGTTTATTATTGAGAGTAGATGTTAAGAACTTATTTGAGATCATTTTTATACTTGCAAGTCAATGAAATTCATCCAAAATTCGTAGTATAACGTCTTGTTTGTCAAAAAAAGAAAAAAGAAAAGAAAGAAAAAATTCTCTGAATATAAGGCAAACAAACTCGTGTATTGTTTAATAATGATCCATTGTAGTGATAATTGTTGATAAACCTTTGCAAGAAGTCTTACGAGTATTTTTTAATATTTACATTTTCTGTGACAAACTTTGGATTTCATTCCCAGCAACCCACTAATAGGATGTGACATTAGGGCTAGTGTAAGTTTGCCTTGGTGCACCTCGAGTACATACATGATAATGATATAGCTTGCTTGCATTAGGAAACCTAAAATAAGAAATGAATTACTTAGATATGTCAATTTCTAACAAGATAACTTAGATTTACGGAAATAGTTCGAATCACACAATCTGTTTCTACCATACTTGATTATGCCCCATATACACATCACATAACACAACACATTAGAAAAGGATTTCAGTTCAGCCATTTTTAACATAGGAGGCCGAAGCCCAAGGCAAACCTCATTTTTAGAAGCTCAGCCCACTTTTTTAATCTGAAGGATCAATGAAGCTGGACCTGAATTCGACCGAGTCCAATCATAATTGTAAATCACTTAAACGCACGTCGTCGTTTTGCGCTGCTTTGTCTATTCTTCTAACGACAAACATTATTCCAGCAGCGTTCCTGCTTTCCAGTATCAAAAAAACGCCATTGATCCAACTCGTTTCAGTCATCTAGTTTCCAGAAAGGAGGAGAAATAAGCCGGCACCGGCGCTCCGCCGGAATCCTATAAACACGACTGAATGTGTATCATCTGCCCATGGTGGTAGTGTTTTCGTAGAATTTTTATAGTCATGGAAGATAAAGAAGCAGAGCTTCTCTGTACACTCGCCGCAAACCATCTCTTTCTAGCTCAATTCGAGCCGCTCCGGGCAGTTCTACGCAGTCTCAGAGCTCGGAATCCTGAATTAGCTCGGTCAATTTTGCAGACCATCGTTGCCAAAGGCGGGCGGTTCGACTCAATTCTCTGGACCCGCCATTCGTGTCCTTCCCCGTCCCTCCTTGCCTTCCTGTCAACCCTCGAACTTCTTCAATTCGGCGATCCGGTGTCACATATTTGGTCTTTTGATGAAGTTGGTTTGAAATTGAGGGCTGAGTTCTTGTTGTATGTTCAAATTGTTAGCTACAGGGTGTTAGAGAATATTAAAAAGAATGTTGAATCGGAGGGTAGTGGCAATGCTTCTAAAAATTTTGACACTCCTGTTGAGTTTTTGGCCAAGGACGAGAGAATTAGGGGCTTGGATGCAGACTTGGGGGAGTGTTTGAGGGTTTTAGATAGGATTTCTGATGTGGGATTGAGCCGTTTGAGACCTGACTTGCTAATGGCGGCAGTACACGGGGAGGATGAGGAGGTTTCAGAGGTTCCTGCAGAGGTTGGAGAGGAGGAAATGATGGTTTTGCAGGGGGTTATATTGGAAAATGGGGAGATTTTCGATGTACTGTGTTTAAATATTGAGAAGCAAATGGGTTCAGTTGTGAAAGAAGATTCAGGGATGGCGATTACCTTGAGGTCAGAGGGGAAACATAGAGAAATTGAGGACAAGGTGCTAAGGTTGATCCAAAGATGTGTTCAGCTGGCGCATTTAGATGCTATGAAGGATTGCATAGAGAAAAATGACCTGGATGGGTCCATTTCTCATCTAAGATATCTTCATCTTCATTATGGAGTGGAGGAGACGGAGTACCGGTAAGTGCAGTTCAGATTCTGCAACCCTGTGACGTTTCTTTCCAGCAATGATTAGAACTGCATGAACCTCATTTTACTTTCAAGAGATATCAATAATGTAGATTTGTTGCAGTTTATGCTTCTGTCTTTTTCTTCCTTTTTTTTTAAATTTTTTTAAGAATTGATCGTCATGTGTTGCCTTAGTACTTGGAGTAGATAGTTGAACTTTGCGTCCTCTTTTGTCTGTACCAGTGTTATTATTTTTTGCCTGTACCAACCATTTATACAAAGATCTGTTTTCGCAACATTTTACGTTTCTTAAGAGACTGAATAATAAGAAAAGACCCAAATCTCCTGCTTTTTAGCTCTATTCACTGTAAGAGTTCTGAACTGCATCAAAAGAGATAGGCTAGTTTCAAATACGTGAAGTGGTTTCATTTTTCTATCTTAGCAAGTCATTGTTAATATCTCTCCATCTATCAAATAGATGCAATCAGACATTTGTTTTGTGAAAGGGAAGTAGGATCGCTGTTCAGTAGCGTTACTAGCTTAAGGCACAATTATAGCATGACGAATAATCTTTTGCAACATAATTTATGTTGTAAAGGTTATTCAAATTTCACCTTATACTTGGAGTCACCAGCATTTTACTTCTTAGTAAAATCTTGTAATATTATATTTGGGTAATCATGGGTGATTCTCTGGTGTGGCTGAACTCAAACGTGTAATTCTGTTAATAACAATAATGAAGGTCGTAGAACAACATAGAGTAAGTGCTGTTGCAGCTTGACAATCATGGTTTATTGAGGAAAACATATTGAACGGGGAGGAGATAAAAACTAGAATGAATAGATGCAGTATAAACTACAGACAAGTGTATTGGCTAATTTTTCTGGAGATTTATCGACCTACCTAAGTTAATGATGAATTGCTAAACTAAAAATTGTGTAATAGTATAGAAGATCTCTTCAAGATATTCATTTTCGACCATTAATTTGTAACTGGGCAAAAGGAGGTGAAAGGAAGAGATAAATAAGTACCAGTAATGAGTTGCATTATCAGGTTTCATTATTTAAATGCTTTCTGCTTTAGGTCAGACAAATGTATTCTTGATATAGAACCTCAACCTCCTTTAAAGATATATATGGAAGCAAGGATGTTTAATTTGTTTTTGATCAATTCTGGTTTTGTGCTAGAATGGTTCTGCAAAGTCTCCTTCGGAAGGTCTTGCTTGGGAAGGACAGTTACGGAGACAACTGGTTTCAGTTGCGAGATAAATTGTTGTCATTTTATGGAGAAGCCCTTTCTTCTAGTTGCATCCATCTTGTTCAGAAGATTCAGGTGCGGCTGATGATTTCACTTTTTAAGATCTGAATTTACGAAAATCAGTTTGGTGTTTGTTTCCCTTAAATTTTAGTTGTTCTTGCTCCTGCAGTGGTTTTCTTTGTTAATGTCAAGTTAATGTACTCATTCTGTGATCAATGTTTGACTCTTTCCATTCTGACCCTAATGTTTCCTTTACTTCTTCAAGGAAAAATCTAGTTGCTCGATTTTTTCCTTTTCTTCTGGAGAAGAGAAATTTCTTTCAATTATTCCTCGTGTGTTTGACCCAATAAAAGCAAGATGCACCCTTTAATTTTCAGATTCCTTCGTGCCTGGTCAAAAGCCAAGTGATTATATAAATCCTGGTGATGGAAGCATGGTGGAAAGTCTACTAGATCAATTAGAAATGTACAATTCTTTGTCTTGAATCTTGATTGATAAAAGAAACCATTTAAACTGATAATGTTTGGCTTGTCACAATATGTAGCATGTTCCTTGAATTTTGGCTTGTTGTGAACTTCTCTTTCTGCTGTCGTTGAACTTCTTTAGTGAGTTTTGGCTTGTTGTGAACTTCTCTTTCTGCCGTCGTTGAACTTCTTTAGTGAATTGTCAGCTGGACACTAGTTTAAGCTTCACAATGTGATCACGAAGCTCCCATTTGCTTTCTGAGGGGTAATATCACGAGTGATGGAGGTTTTAGGGGGTTGGGCTGTGCAGCTGAAACTTTGCTAGTTGATGGCAAATTTATGTGGCATTCTTGCTATTTTCTCTCATTCACCATTGAGATGATGCTTTATTTATGATGGCGGAGTTGTGTAATGGTAGTGTAAAGGATTCTAAGAAAAATGAAAGAGGTAGTGTAAAGGATTCTATTTCTTCTTGCTTGGTTTGGTGGGATGAAATTATGAGTGGTATGACTATGTTATAATTTGATAAATTTGTCAAGTCATTCCCTTCTCTTCTTTCACAACGTTAAACTGGAAACCAAGAAAACCTTGTCCTTAATTACATCTCCAATCCAACAAAAACTAGAAACCGTCGATCTCACTTTCCTCTCCCTTATTCTCTCCCAACTTATTGTTTGTGATTATGGAACGAATTTGGATCAAGCACTCCACCAAACATCAAACCAATCAAGAATAACTGATTTTTCCTAAATATCTTAGTGCTTGTACAGATGAAATCTCTCTTCACCTGCATAAATCCTATCTAAAATCCTCCATAAGAAGTTGCCTAGAAAAAGTCATTCATCATCCCAAAAATTACTGCTGTCTTAACATGTTCAAATGAGAGGACAAAAAAAGCAAACTTTTTCATGGAGTATGCAGTATTAGAAGGTCAAACTAGGGGTTAATTAGGATGGGGGAAAAAAAGGTTGAGATTAGGTTTCATATGGCTGGCTCATTAGTTGTTTTGCCCTGGATGACAGTCAATAGACTGGGATGAGGTGGCTGATGTTTTCTTACAAAGTGATTTTGGTCCTTTTTCATGCTCTGATAATGTCGAGATCTTTGTTGTACATGGAATCATTGAACATTACCATTCCATCTTGATGGTTTTAAAAAAAAAAAATTCAGATAGGTTTGGGATTTAGTTATGCCTGGTGGTCGCTTATGATTTTTGTTTACAGAGAGTGATTGGTGTGTTTAATGCCTGGCTACTTCTCACAGGTTATCCAAGACGAGTTGCTAGTAGCAGAGATAGAACTTTCTAAAGCTTCTGAAACTGATGGGGTTCATTTTCCATTCCATCTTCTTCGTAAGTGTACAGCAAATATGAGCTCCGACACGGCTTCAAATGACAATACTGTAGGGCACAATATTGTTTCCTCTGCATGCATTAGAGATATGTTCCATTATGCTCGCGTGAGTGGCTTGCATGTTCTGGAGTGTGTAATGGATGCCTCTCTTACTGCTGTACGGGCAGGACAACTCCAAGAAGCTGGCCATGTATGTTCTTTGACTCTAATGCATAGAATCTATGTAATTCCTGTTCGTAAAGTAGAGGAAAATACATTGTTTTTTGGGTGTCCTGTTTCTGATGTTGCCTATTTGATGTCTGTATATGTGCTAGATTCTCTCACTCTTTCCACGACTTCAACCACTTGTTGCTGTCATGGGCTGGGACCTTTTGTCTGGCAGAACCAGTTTAAGGAGAGAACTTATGCAGCTTTTGTGGACCAGCAAATCACAATTCCTACGATTGGAAGAAGCCCCTCTATATAGTAACAAGTCAGACGAGGTAACTAAGGTAGATTTTACAGTTTTTAAATGTCAACCACTAGTAGTTTTTTTTTTTTGTTATACTCTCTCCCTCATGTGTTGGTTTCTGTGGTGTTGCTAGGGCACATTCAAGATATGATAAGATAAGCCTAGAACTTTAGCTTTAATAGTGTCTAATTTAGATTATAATTTCATCTTGACAGGGTTCCTGTGTAGAACAACTTTGTGATCTATTGTGTTATCAGCTGGACCTGGCTTCCTTCGTCGCCTGTGTCAATTCTGGTCAATCATGGAATCTGAAAATGTCATTATTATTATCAGGCAACGATTTGAAAGACCGCAGAGATGCAGATGCCCAAGAAGACCCGTTTGTTGAAAATTTTGTGCTGGAGAGACTATCTTCTCAGAGCCCCCTTCATGTAAGATGCAAAATGTTCTTTCATGTTATTGAATTGTTCAAGTAGGCCTTGCATTTTTCTACTCCCTGTGGAAATGTTACCTACTTGTAAATGTTTTGGACGGTCTGTTGATTGATGCATTCGACCCCATTCCTCTCTGAAATTATTTCATGTAGTCCATTTTTCCTGACAATATTGTACTCCTATAAAGCCCCTCTGCTGTAAGTCTGGAGTTCTCTATCAAGGATAGATACAACAACATATCTAGTATATTCCCAACTTTTTTTTTTTGGGGGTGTCGGGGGAGGAGGGTTTGGGGTCAACATGTATGCTGTGTTTCCACTGTATCTCAAGGATAGCTGATTCTGTAAAATCCTAGTTTATGACTAGTACAAGGACAGCATAAATCGCTGAATATCTATTCAAAATCACCATGCTAGCTTAGTTGTTAAGAGAGTTTGGAATGTGAAAGACAATCTTGAAGAGTTTTGGAATGTGAAAGCAAACCTTGAACTTTGTGGTAGGCCTAGTTTCTTCCCATGATACCATCATTATCTTATCATGATCGTTATCATAATCAATCTCCAGTGCGGAAAGGGGGGCATTAGCTTATTCATTACTAAGCAGGCCTGACAATTTAAATTCAATTGCAGAAAACTCATGCGAAAGTGTAACTAGGTATTCTTGAGAATAAACTGATCGTTTGCTGAAGTTAGGTTATTTATATCACATAATGCCAGCAACATAACAAGAAAAAATGCAATTGCAAATAAAGAGCTAGAATACTCCTCTAATTAGTTTCTCATTATTGCTTAATTTCAAGGCAATCATCTACCAGTGTCCTGAGTAAAGCATGTTACAACTGTGCATTCAGTAACATGATTTCTCTGCTGAAATCTCTTGATAGGATATAACACATATGAAGTGGTTGAGATGCTTTGTAGGATACAATGTGATTAGAAACTATTGACTGCGCATTGGCATGGGTTTGTCAAGGTTTGGCACAACTAAAATGAGTCACCGAAGAAAAGTATTTCCTGTGACTCAATTAAGTCATCTAAAATACGTGTACATAGGGATTGAAGTGAATACACATGTCATGATCGAACACGGTGGGATAATTTGATCTACGTACCATGCTGTATACTGGGATAAAGACTTAGTTAAAAAACTATTAGATTTATTGGAATTGAGTTGGATCTTTTCTTGCTGTTGTAGTTCCAAGTACTGTATTTGGAGTTTGTACTGCCCTTTGAGGAAGTCATGTTGCTAAACCAAAAGGGGAAGTAAGACCTTGTTTGTGATGGATCTAGGGAAGGGCGCCATTAAGTCTAATATACGCAGCCATATATCATGTTTCTACGAGAGACTTTCTGCAACCTCTGACTTAGGTCACATGCAAAAGCTCTCACCATTTTGCCAAGGCTCCACTTTAGAGGGAAGGATGGAAATTCTAACATTGAACAGTCAATGTGAGAAGGCACCTGATGAAACAGTTTCATGGCCATTCATGTGATTCATTTATCTTTAAATGTGGAAGTATATTGTGGTATCCATATTGGCAAATTCTGTGTTGCATCTTTTTTCTCTCTTCCCATGTGCTTTTCTTTCTATGCATAACCCAATCAGTCTTTATCACAACTATTCCACAACTTACATTGATTGAACCTTTTATGTTTCCTTTCTCCATTGGTTCCTCATATGAAGTCCTTTCTGTAGGTATTGTTTGATGTTGTTCCAAGCATAAAATTTCAGGATGCAATTGAGCTCATAAGTATGCAGCCAATTACTTCAAGCCTTGCTGCGTGGAAGAGGTTCAGTCTCTTTCTGACAGCTCATTGTTCTACTTTGTTACATTCCGCATAGTGTTTTCAACTTGGTTAACCTAAAGAATGCAGTTCATTTATCCAATCCAACAATATCCTGTATTCTACAAAGTCTGATCTCTATGTCTCTTAGCGAGCAACTTTGCAGTGTCTGTTGTAATCAGCATTATTTCCTGCTTTGACTTTGTCTACTCGGAAGCTTCTGCTGTCGTTCCTATCTCTGTCTCACTGGATATCACCAATTTCGTTTATGCTGCCTTGCTGTCTCATCAATATTAATCTCTTTCCCCCTTTTAAAATTAACTGCAACAGAGTTGGGAACATATGGGGTATGTTGTTGTTGTCTGTTCCTGTTTGTTATGGACATACAGGTTTTTTAAAAACAAAATCTATGCATGGGAACTTGAACTTAAAGTTTTGAGTTGGAAAAAAAAAGGCGGAAAGTAAATGAATAAGTTTTACTCTTTCTTGAAAATGTAAGAAGAATTGCCGGTTTATGATTACAAACGTGGTACAATATTGCTGTATTAAATCCATTGCATCTTTGTAATGCTGTTTGTCTAACCTTCCAAATTACAGGATGCAAGATATTGAGCTTATGCACATGCGATATGCTTTGGAGTCTGCGGTTTTTGCATTGGGAACAATGGAGAACTGTACAAATGTTCAAGCAACAGGGAGTGAAATAGCTCTGGCCTATCTGAGGGACCTAAAGAACCATCTGGATGCAATCCGTAACGTTCCACGCAAGGCATGCCTCCTCTTTGATTCTTTGAAGTTATTACACTTTTTGTTTCAAAGGTTATTAAACTCGATTAACCAGTAAAATGCTTTTTATTTATTTATTTATTTATTTTAAGTTGTTACACTATATTAACCAGTAATTGAGTAATTATGTCAAAAAGATTGTAATACACGTTCTTGCCTCTATCAGATTGCATGCTGAGTCACTTGTTCCTTATGGGATTACACTCGGATGAACTTTTTTGCATCTCAAAGCATTTGGGTTTTAGTGGTCTTTAAGCCTTAGCATCGAAGATACTGATGGCAAATTTAAAAGCGTTCAATAATTTTGTTCACTCATGTATGGGTGTTTCTTTCTTGTCAATTGCAGATCATGTCAGTGAACATTATCATTTCACTTTTGTATATGGATGATCTCTCTTGTAATTTGGTACCTCTGTCTGTGAATGGTTCTGAGGAGGGCAATGTTTCAACTGGGGATCAAGAAGATTCTTCCATTCTTGAAATGGGTAACAAGATGGTTGTACAGTTTACAGCTCAATTACTTGATATTTTGCGCCAGAATCTGCCATCATCTGTGTCGGATCCAGATGATACTTTAGACAACAACATTTCATCTGGTGGAAAGCAGGCTTTGGAATGGAGAATTTCACATGCAAAACATTTCATTGAAGACTGGGACTGGCGCTTATCAATTTTGCAGCGTCTTTTGCCATTGTCCGAACGTCAGTGGAGATGGAAGGAGGCCTTAACAATTTTACGCGCTGCTCCATCTAAATTACTAAATCTGTGAGTTGTATTGTCGCTATAATTCTCTCTCAAGGATCTGCAATAACCGTCAGTTATATAGTTGAGATATAAAATTATATTTACCCAGGCTGCTGTGAATTAATTCTGAATTTGCTATCAATTGTTTTATGCTTTGAAAAGGTTGAAAAGTATTGCATATGTCATCCAGTGCATTTCTTTTCCATTAATATTATGCGTTAGACATCGAAGAAATCTTTCATTTACATCTTTCTGAATCATATGGAGTTATTAGGGTAAATTTTGGGAGTGCAGCTGATGTCTTTATACTGATTGAAACTACTTGTTATGTTTGAACTGTGATTCTCTGTGATTGTCTCATTTTTGTATTGAGAATGTATGTTTCCTTTTATTGACAGTTCAGATTTTTAATTGCACAGTTGCATGCAAAGGGCGAAGTATGACATAGGAGAAGAGGCAGTTCATCGTTTTTCTTTGCCTCCAGAAGACAAAGCTACTCTTGAATTAGCTGAATGGGTGGATGGTTCCTTCGAACGATCATCTGTATGACCCTAACCTGTAGTGTCGATCATGTTATCAAAAAATGACTACAGTTTTGGGTGTTTTCATTCTATCTTATAGTCAAAACTCTGTTCAATAAAGCATGGATGGTCGCACTGCTATTATTTAAATCACCCTTTAATTTTTATGGTGTTTTGGGCCACAAATTATTGGTTTGGTGAAAAATGCATATAAAACTAACCGGTCCAGAAAAGACAATCACATACTTTTTTTTTCCTAGTTGGTTTAGAGATGTTGCCAGTTTGGTGTCAAACCTATGATATCTTATCATAGGAGCTGGATGATCTTCATCTCTTCTTTTCACATTTACCGCTTTGATTTAGCAGTAGTTCTTTGTACTGGTTATTATATATGCTTGAAAGTTTTCCACAAAGAGGAACATTGGATTTAAAATTGAAATGAGTCGGTTAGAGAAACCACATAAAGCAAACTACAAAATTTGGGATTCCTCTCGTATGATTTCATACTTGTAAGATGTGGCCAAAAAAAAAAAAAAATGGCTAGCTGTTAACCTTATGCAAGCCCACCCTCGTTATTGAAAGCTAGGCTTGGACAGTGGAGCACCCTTTATAGAAAATTTTTCGTTGAACTATTATCCACGAAGTTATTCTATGTTTGCTTGGAAAGTATGATGCTTATGAGGACAACGAGGTGCAGCTTAGTAGTAAGACGCCTCACCTGTTGACCAATAGGTCACGGGTTCGAGTCACGCCGGGGGTAAGTGGAGAACCACTATTCATCCCTTTAAAAAAAAAAAAAAAAAAAAAAAAAGAGTATGATGCGTATGAGACTTTTGTATATTTGGAATGAACCTAAAACTCTAGTTCGTTCTCTTTAGTTCTGATTATGTGCATACACAGTTCATTCTCTTGTGTTCTGACGTACATATGCAGCTTTCAGGTTTCTTGGTAGGAGAGCTTTTTGTAATTTGTGATAAGTAGAACATTAGTTGCGATAATTTTTGTTTTCACCTATGCCCAAAGGGACCTAATTTCTTGAGTTCTTTTTTGTGGGTATCAAATGTAGTGTTTTTATCATTAGATGGGATTTTGGCTTCTGCTTATTATGCGTGATTATGTACATGGATGCATGGTGAAACTTTTTTTCTTTTTCTTAGGTGGAGGATGCAGTGTCACGTGCTGTAGATGGGACTGCTGCCCAAGAATTGGATTTCTCATCTTTGCGCTCTCAATTAGGGCCCTTGGCAGCAGTGGGTGTTCTCTTCTTTTCCCGTTTAAAGTATTTTGGACTCGTTGAATTCCCTTAGTTTTACTCATCCAGAATTACTTTCTTTGTTCCAATGCAGATTCTCCTATGCATTGATGTAGCTGCATCATCTGCAGTGTTCAAAAGTTTATCTTTAAAGCTTCTGAACCAGGTAATATAACCCTACTTTCTTTTATTTTAATTATCTGAAGACTATACATTAGTTGCATTTTCTTTACTACTGGCAGAAAGGTTTATTTTAATCAGTAATGTACCGAGGCGCATGAAAATTGTTTTCTTGTCATGGTACTATAAAGGTTTACCTTTGAGACATCTTGGATTAGTACAAGAACTGAAAATATTTATAGCTAGATGTGGATCCCACTTGAGCTTTTATTTTGTATGGTCAGATATATTATTTGTAGTCTATCTTCTTGTTGAAAGAGATGCATAATATGTCAGTTGCATGTGTTGTCATGTGTTTCTTGTCGCTTTCCCAGGTATATGTCTTCGCTGTAAGATCTTGATGTTTTTTACTTTTTTGGTTGGACAGATTTGACGAACCCATTGCACTCCTTTATGCATGTTCATGTGTATAAGAAAGTTTTCTTTGCGCTTTTCCTGATTTACTCTCTCACGCTTCCAGTTCTTTTTAAATGGGGTCTATTTGTCTCTGGATACAAGTCTTTATGTCCTCTATGTGGGATTACTATATGGTCCATATGTCACCATTGTGCTGTATCTTACACAATTTGTAATATGACCTATATAATGCAATGTGGCAATTTAAAGCTGGTTATTGAACTAGTGCAACCCTTTTTCTTTATCTAGACATGGGCATCACCTGTCCAAATTGAATTGATTTATGCTTGTGTCTGGATATGAAAAAGGAGTTCTCTTCAGTTTTCCTGTTGGTTCCATAAAGACTTTTCCTTCAACATGTTCTATCTAATGATAAATGCACGCATATGGCCTTCGTCCTTGTCAAAGATAAGAAGTCCAAGATTTTGATGTTTAGTATCTTCTTGGCTTTCTGAAATGCAGGCTCAAGTTATGCTTTCTGAGATCTATCCTGGTGGTTCTCCAAAGAATGGATCAACTTATTGGGATCAAATTCACGAAATGGCTATAGTCTCTGTGACAAAGCGTGTCCTTAAACGCTTTCATGAGTTATTGGACCAGGTAAGGAATCAAAGCTGCCATTCTAAGTTCAGGTTCCCCATTAGCTTTAGGACTGCTTGAAGATAATAAACCGGAGCCTGCACTTAACCATTCTTATGTTTCGTAATGCAGGACGAAGTACTCTGTAAGAAAATAGACAAATAGAAAGCTTTTGATTTAGGAAATTGATATAGAAGTTTTGATACCTTGAGTTGTCGAAAGAAGCTTTTCAGGGATCAAATGATAGAGATGTACATGTGATGTGTGTTTTGCTGATATTATTGATAGTTCTTTTACCTGCCTTTAGGCCCAAAATTCATGATTTTTACTTTATTGTAGAAACCACAGTCTTCGATTGTGGATTACGTATTTTCCTTTTGCATGTCTCCTAGCATGACTTTCTGTTGGTATGCCTCAGTGTGCACTGAATTTTAATCATTAGTTCTTTTGACAAATAATGGTCATTCCCTGAACTGATATGTACTTGGATGTACCTCTTTGTCTTTAATTCAGCGGTAGTATTGTGAAAGCCACTTTAACTTTTGCCTGCAACCTACAGTCAACCCCTTCTCCTGAATTTCCCCAAATGAATTCCGTATTCCTGACATAGTTTTGTGTTTCAGCTTCTCAAATTTGTGTTCTCCTGTTATCATGTTGGATATGGTTTGCTTGATAACTGATGTATGATCTGCTCTTTGAAGGACAAATATCCTACCCTTCAGGCCATTTTCACCGGGGAGATGATTTTATTGATCTCAAAGGAGTTCCAAAGACAGGGGCATAGAGAACGTGCCCTTGTTATGCTCCACCAGATGATTGAAGATGCACACCAGGGAAAAAGACAGTTTCTTAGTGGTAAAAAATCAATAATTGCTCGCTACAAATTTATAAACTCCGAAATAGATTAATGCTTGTGTTTTTTATAATCAATGTTTACCTGCACTATATAACCTTTCCTGGTTTCAACAATTATAGGCAAGCTTCATAATCTGGCTCGAGCAGTTGCTGATGAAGAGACTGAAAGGGACTTCGTTGCAGGAGAAAGTCCGACTCCTGTAAAGACTAGGGATTTTCAATCTGGTCCGAGTGTTGTTCTTGGTCTGGGATTAAGAACACTGAAACCATCATCTTCAGTTTTACCAGCTGGTGAAAACAACATTCTTCCCAATAGTTATGATGTTAAAGAAACAGGAAAGAGAATATTAGGCCCATTCACTTCCAAACCTACCACATATCTGTCAGTGTTCATCCTCCATATTGCTGCCATTGGGGACATTGTTGATGGGACTGACACTACTCATGACTTCAACTATTTCTCGGTCATTTATGAGTGGCCTAAAGATGTAAGAGCTCTTGCATTTGCCCATAGATTTTCTTCTGTATGGTGGGCTACATCGCTCATCATTTGGAGCTATGTTTAATTGCTAAGAAATATATTGAATCGTAGAAGTAATAACCAGAAACGTAACAAATAATTAAATTTAAGATGTATGTACATTTTGCCTGAACCCACAATGTATCTCTTTGGGTATCATGCCTTGCATTGGTGTATATATTCTTTGGGTACAGATGTCATTGATAGAAAGCTGGAACTTGATATGGTTTTTCCCTGCATCTTTTTTCTAGGTTTAATTTTCTCCAGAAGTAGTAACTGGATGCCTGAACCTTTCATTTTATTTTCATCTTCGTCCACTCTGTTCATTTATTTTTCCATTGTTCAAGCAAATCATCAACCTGTCTGAAAATATTTGTTCCTTTCAAATACTCTCGGTGGATTTTGGAGAACTCTTGATCACTAATTGTGTGTAGTTATTACATTTTACAGCTTTTGACTCGATTGGTTTTCGAACGAGGCAGCACAGATGCAGCTGGAAAAGTTGCAGAAATTATGTCGGCTGACTTTGTTCATGAAGTGATTTCTGCATGTGTCCCTCCGGTATATCCTCCTAGATCGGGTCATGGTTGGGCATGCATTCCAGTTGTTCCTACATTTTCCAAGAGTTATCCGGAAAGTAAAATGCTCTCACCTACGTCTAGAGATGCTAAACCCGGCTCTTACAGTCGTGCTTCGGGAACTCCAGGAACACCTCTATACCCTCTCCAGTTGGATATTCTGAAACATCTTGTTAAACTATCTCCAGTGCGGGCTGTCTTAGCAAGTGTTTTTGGAAGTTCTATACTATACCGTGGTGGTGATCCAATTGTATCTAATTCCTTGGAAGATGACTCGTTAAAGACACCAGATGCAGATAGACTATTTTTAGAATTTTCTCTTGATCATTCTGAGAGGTTAGTTTCTGCTGGAATCAGGCTCTCTCTCTCTCCTCCCCCGGGTAAATTGTTGGCTCAGTTGTTTGTTTAATTTTCATTGTCATAAGCAGATTTCCCACTTTGAATCGCTGGATTCAAATGCAAACTAACCTTCATCGTGTGTCGGAGTTTGCTGTTATGTCTGATGAGACAACTAGCAACCCTGTAAAAAAGACCGAATCAAAAACTGCGGTAAAGAGATATAGGGAACATGATAGTGATACTGAATCTGAAGTTGATGATTTTATTGCCGGGAAAAATATTTCATCAGCACAACCGGAGCAAAAGGATCAAACTTATAGGCATCCAGCATCTCAGCATGATTCTCCTCCGTGGAAAACATCAGAACACGATTCTACTGTTTTTCTTTCGTTTGATTGGGAAAATGAAGCGCCATATGAAAGGGCAGTTGAGCGGTATGTCTATGTCTTTTATCTCTTTGGATCTGACCTTGGTTGTCAAACTGCTGCAACTTGGTTTGTTATTCATGGATTAAATTTTGTTTTTGTCAGCTTTTTCTTGTATTGGTTATGTTTCCGTATTGCTGGCAGTATTGATTGTTATTTGTGTACAGTTTGATGGCTGCTTATATGCTTTTTTGCCATCTTTCCTTTGAGATTTTAGTGGAGTCATTCAAACTGGTTGTATTTTACATATTTGAATAATGTCCATATTACAATTTGTTGTCTGGTGTTGTTTTGCCTCTGGGGAGCTCCTACTTATTCTGGCTATTGAAACAGGTTAATTGATGAAGGGAAATTAATGGATGCACTTGCTCTGTCTGATCGCTTCTTGCGCAGCGGTGCCTCAGACAGGTTGCTTCAGCTGCTAATCAAACTTGGGGAACAAACCAACCCGGGAGCAGAGCAGTTTCAAAGTTTCTCAAGCCTCCGAGTATGGAGTAGCAGCTGGCAGTACTGCCTTAGGATGAAGGATAAACATCTAGCTGCAAAACTTGCGCTCAAGTATGTCCTTTCGTCTTTTGCCCCTATTCTGATCAGTTTCCTCCAGCTGTTTTTCTTCTTCCTGTTAATTCAATAAGTTGACTCATGTTTCTAGACTGTATGGCTATGGTTTATGGTACGAATATAGACATGATGATGATGTAGGACAAGGAGGAGATCTCCTTTGCATGTGCAAGTGGAAATCTTGGAGGGCTTAGGATAATAGGATGGCTTTTATGGGTCTGAATTACACATGAGTAGTAAATCAGGTCAAAGGTGGGGTTAAAAAAAGGGAAAACAGGGCAGATTAAACAATTAGCCTATGGCATTTGGAACTTGAATTCTTATTGATCAAACTGGACTAGTGTGAGTAAATTTATCAATAAATGGTGCGAAGAGATGAAACTTGTCATTTCTTTAACCACAAATAGAGTTACGGCTGAATCTATAATAGGATTATTGAAGTTCTTTCTTTTTCTTTTTTTTTTTTAATGAAGATGCATCTATTCTTTCTTTGCAAATGGAGTTGGCAATCATTTCAGCTTTGTGCTACTAATCGATTAGATCAAAATGGCTCATCTAAATTCCGGCGCTTCTTAATTTTGGAAGTTCTGGAAATCAATAAATCAATTCACCCATGCATCTTGGGTCGTACTACTTAAACAGCCTCTCTGTATTGGTATACAGGAGTAAGGCTGCGTACATCTTGACCCCAGACCCCAAACAAGTTGGGAATATATTGGGTATGTTGTTGTTGCATTGAAGATGTATCTAAACAAATTTAACATTTACCACGTAAGAAAATAATGGGGTTAATAAATTGTTACACATGGAATTCAAGAAAAATTGTACCAAATGGAGATTTGCTTCTCTATACTTAATGACCACAAAGTATTACCAAAATAGAAAAGGAAAGATTTATGAAGCAACCATAACCAGTAAAGCTTTATGGATTATTAGGGCATAGGACCACTTTATTTGAAAACAAACAACAGATGAAGATAGCAAACATGAGATTGAGATCTGCACGCCAAAAAACAAGAATAGATAAAAAGTAATTTATTAGTGTATCTTGTATCAGAAAGATGATAGGTGGAGTTTTAACCATTGAGAAAATGAGAGAAACTCGCTAGGTGTCTTAGATATGTGCACAGGAGTCCTCTAGATCGCTTACGACATATATACTCAATTTCAAAGGAGAAGTGATGAAAAGAAAATAAGAAATTCAAAAAGGACATGTTATATTTATATTTAACATATCAGAACATGGTGGCAAGATTGATTCATATAGTTCTGGTAGCAAGATTGATTCATTTAGCTGATTCCAAGATTTAAAATAAAGGCTCGGTGGTGTTACTTGGATTCTGTGTGGATATTGGATTGGGCTGTTCTTTTCTCTTCCTATCCTGCTGGATCTGTTTCTTTGACTCCTTAAGCCCAATGAATAAGAATAAAGTTGAGAAGAACTGCTGGGAACAGTGGAGAACTTCAAAGAAATTAGATAGAGTTTTTCTCTAAACATGCCTGGTTCTCTATCTGAATGATAGAATTTTGACTGATTGCTAGGTAGATTTTCGATTAAATTTCACTTTTTCTTTTTTTGTCAGGTATTTACATCGATGGGAGCTGGATGCTGCTTTGAATGTGCTCACGATGTGCAACTGCCATTTGCTAGATAATGATCCATTAAAAGCTGAGGTAAGGAAAATGTTGTTTAATCTAGAATTTCATTGGTCATGCCAGATATTATACCACTTCCTTGCAGTACATGAATCATACATCCAGTTCTGACAGTAATAGATGTGCCTTTGTTTTTCAACTTTCTATCCCAGGTTTCTCAAATGAGAGCTGCTCTCCTTAGGTATAACCGCATACTTTGTGCAGATGACCGCTATTCTAGCTGGCAAGAGGTTACCACTTTTTCTTATGAGCTTTTATTCGTGTGTACGTAGAATTGCAATTCAATATTATAGAGTTAGTATTTCAATTTTTTACATCTTACCAAGTCTGCTGGTGACTTCTGATGAAATTTAGGTTGAAACAGTATGTAAGGAAGATCCTGAAGGTCTGGCTCTGAGGTTAGCTGAAAAGGGAGCCGTGTCTCCTGCTTTAGAAGTGGCTGAAAGTGCAAGCCTCTCCATCGAACTGCGGAGAGAACTACAAGGTCGTCAACTTGTGAAGCTTCTTACTGCTGATCCTTTGAATGGTGGGGGTCCCGCAGAAGCATCACGTTTCCTTTCCTCCTTACGTGACAGTGATGATGCTTTACCGGTTGCAATGAGTGCAATGCAGCTTTTGCCTGATCTCCGATCAAAGCAGCTTCTGGTAAGTCTTAACTTCAGAACATTCTTTCAAAATCCAAACCCTTCCCCGAACCAAGAAGTCAAGGGGGAAAGGTGGGCATAAGTGGCCTGCTGCATTTCTGAGTCTTGAAAGTTGCTTAAGTAATTAGTGATGTTTATTGCTTGAAACCAAGGTTCACTTTTTCCTCAAGAGAAGAGATAGCAATTTATCAGAAGCTGAGGTTTCCCGGCTTAACTTGTGGGCATTGGGCCTTCGTGTCTTGGCTGCCTTACCAATATCATGGCAACAAAAATGTTCTTCCCTGCACGAGCACCCACACTTAATTCTTGAAGTTCTGCTGATGAGAAAGCAACTGCAATCTGCTTCTCTGGTAACAAGCAGAATTTAAATATATTTCTTATTACCATTCTAGTTACACCAAATACTTACTATGTGTCAATATTTGTGTATAGATCCTTATAGAATTCCCTTCTTTGAGAGACAACAGCGTAATCCTTGCATATGCTGCAAAGGCTATCACCATTAGCATCAGTTCTCCTCCCAGGGAAACTCGAGCTGCGGTCTCAGTTCCCAGAGCAAAACAAAAAACACGGATAGGGACTCCTACTCGGTCATACATTACTAGCAGCCTGAGCAACTTCCAGAAAGAGGCTCGCAGAGCATTTTCTTGGACTCCACGCCAATCTGGGGAAAAGACTGTTCCAAAGGATACTCCAAGGAAAAGGAAGACATCTGGATTATCACAACAGGAAAGGGTAGCCTGGGAGGCAATGGCAGGAATTCAAGAAGAGCGTGTTGCACCTTATTCATCAGATGGGCCGGAAAGGCTTCCTTCTGTCTCCATAGCTGAGGAGTGGATGCTCTTTGGTGATCCGGTGAAGGATGAAGCTGTTCGCTCTTCATTTCGTTATGAAAGTGCACCAGATATCACTCTCTTTAAGGTATGTTACTTTAAAAACACATTAATCTTTGGCAGTATTTTCATTCGTAAGCATGATTGACTTCTTGTGGAGACAATTTGTGTTAATTCGTGTTAGGCAGATTACTTAGCTTTCATGTTTTAACGCAGTTAATTCTTTTGCTTTGTAGAATATTTGTCTGTTTGAAAAGTTTATCAAAAGGACTTTGAAATTTCCACTTACATAAAACCAATAATATCTTTCTAAACCTATGCTGGTCGAAACTTCAAGCTATTTGATATTATATGTAATCTATGGGCATGAAACTAATCATCATACATGGAGCAACTAGAGATTAGGAAACTTTTATCTTTGGCACCATTGTTGATGCATATATTTTCTGAATTCGCTTGACAGGTACTATGAATAAATGAACATTAAAATTCCTTTCTTTTTCTTCAAGGAATATTGTAATCATCTTTTATCAAACTAAACACATCATAAGCAAACAACAATATAAGCAAATAATAGCAGATGATAGAAACAAAATCAAGAGGTTATAAAATATGGAGGGTTCTTAAAGTATATTAAATGATGTGATTCGAAACTATAGATTCCCAGTTTTAACCCTGAAAAAGAAGTGGGGGTTGTGTTAGGTTGACAGCCAGCATGAAACTTTGTCACACCATTAATTTGTGAAACAATAAAGACGTATAAAAATGTAACAATGTGTCTATTTCAACTCTTATTGAACTATCGATTGCTTTCATGGTAAAGGTAGCTCTGCAGGGATCACCGTGGAGCCTCTTCCTGATAACTTTAGTAATTGGTGAAAAGACTAAGCATCTGAAGTAAACTATTCCTGAATGCATTATAGATGCACACTACATAGCGCTAATAGATGAGACTAGGAAAGGGGTAAATGCGAAGATAGAATCTTGTAGAGAAGCACTAGAATCCTACAGATATAACTAGGACTAGAACTGAATGTATTGGTTAAGTAAATATAAAAGCTTAAGTTATTTAGTTCCATCACCAAAGAAAATGGGGAGTTCATAAAGTAATAAAATTCAAACAGGTTAGAAAAGTGTGTCCTGATTGACCAAAAGAAAAAAAGAGAAGCATCTCCTGTATTCTTATTGAGCTTAAGCATCATTGGAATAGGAAAAGAAAATGCAAGTTCTATGGAAATACCATACAGTTAATGATGCTTTACAGATCAAATTGCTGGATCACTAAATATGTTGACAGCAGTAGTAATGGGGAGATGAATGTGCATGTACACCAGGTTAGTTATGATTAGTAATGAATTCTCTGTAAAGAAGGTGGGTGTGGCACCCATTGATGAGAAAACAAGAGAATCGTGCTTAAGATAGTTTGGACATGTTCATAAGAGATCTTCGGATGATGCCCCAGTAAGAAGAGTAGAAAACATAGAACATAAACTCGATTTGTAAAGGGGATGAGAATACCCAAAAAGAATGGGGAGAAACTAGAAACTAGTAAGTACGTGATTTGTTTGAATTCTAACCGAGCACAATGGCAACATAGGATCCATATAGTGAACTCCGCATTGTACTCAATGGATGGCTGTTGCTGTTGTTCTATTTCTCTTCTTTTGAAGGTTCTTGGTTTCTGTTTCTGAACAAATAAAACTGTTCACGTGGCATGTAGACTATCAGTGGATGGATGCTCTATTTTTTCCCACTTCCACGCATTCTATAAACTTTAATTTCAGTCATGTATCTTAGGCACTTTATTTTTTGATTTTTATTTGTGCTTCAACTTTGTAGGCACTGCTATCGCTGTGTTCTGATGAGAGTGTGTCAGGGAAAGGTGCTTTAAGCTTATGCATCAATCAGATGCAGACTGTGCTAAGCTCCCAGCAGGTACCTGAGAATGCATCCATGGAAACTATTGGCCGAGCATATTATGCAACTGAAACATTTGTTCAGGTATTCTCTTTGTTATGAACTTTTAATTGTCGAAGAGGCTCTTGTGAATTCTCAGTAAATTCAAGCACGTGATAGAGGTTCTAGCTGAGAGAAATTGGAACTCTTTTTGCATAATGATTTAGATCTGGGGTTTTAGGACAGGTAGGAAAGGGGGGTTGACTGGGTATATATAGTGGAAAACTGTAGATTGTATTCTGAGATTTTAGAAGAAATTGCTTATTCTATCAAATATAGTGGAAAGCCATAGATTTATTTGTCAATGTACAAAGCAAAGCTAGTTTAACTGGAATCTTTATTCCACAAGCAATATATTGTAAATTAATTATGATTCTTATTCTAGTGAAGAAACGAATCCCTGTACAAGTCCTTAGAAAAGTAAAGACTGCTTCTTGGGAACAGTTTATTTGTTTGGAACACTTATTTACAATCTGCTGCGTTACAACAACTTGCAGGGTCTTCTATTTGCTAAGGGCCAGCTTAGAAAGTTCTCTGGAGGACTGGACTCTATGAGTAATTTAGAAAGATTTAAGGATGCTGATGACACATCTTCTGACGCTGGCAGCTCTAGTGTGGGTAGTCAATCAACAGATGAGCTAGCTGAAGTACTGGGACAAGTAGAAGTGTGGCTTGGGCGTGCTGAGTTGCTTCAAAGCCTTTTAGGTTCTGGTATAGCTGCCTCAATTGATGATATTGCTGATAGAGATTCTTCTTCTCGTCTTAGGGATCGACTGATTACTGAAGAAAGATACAGTATGGCAGTTTATACCAGCAAAAAGTGCAAGGTATGAAAGCGTGCAACTTTCTCTTTTATACAACATACCCAGTATATTCCCAACTTTGTTCCGTCTGGAGGCTGTATTTCAATACAGGGAGGTTGTTTAAGTACGACCCAAGACGCATTAATGCATTTGATGTATTTATTTCCAGTAACTTCACTAAAATTAAGCACTGGAATTATATTGAGCCATTTTGATCTAGTCCATTATTAGCACAGAGCTAAAAGAATTGTCAATGATGACTCTTCTAGCTCCATTTGCAATGGACAAGCAACTTTCTCTTTTATTATACACTTTAAGATTTGCTCTGCCGTTCACTCTTATTATCTCAATTGTGTTCAGATTGATGCTTTTCCAGTGTGGAATGCATGGGGACATGCTCTAATCCGTATGGAACATTATGCGCAAGCTCGTGTCAAATTTAAGTATGCAATAATTTGTGTTCACAGTGTCCTCTTCTGGAGCAAAAAAAAAAAAAAAAAAAAAATTCAGTTTTAGGATTTGTATCAATATGTTACCTTTACTTAAAGTGATCCGTTTTCTGATGCACAGGCAAGCTTTTCAACTGCACAAGGATGATCCAGAATCTGTGGTTCTGGACATCATTAATACCATTGAAGGAGGTGCACCGGTTGATGTCTCCTCTGTTCGGTCCATGTAAGATCTGAGAGAAGTGGAATTTATCTTTTATACATTGAAGGAAGATTTTGCGTAGCTTGTTCACTTTTTGCATGCTCTACTTCTCTCCTTGGTCGTCACTGATTTGCTTCTTGTACTGCTTTGATGTATATATCTGAGTGATGAAAAATTTTAGAGGGCTTTACCACGATTTGAATTGTATTCCCCACATTATACCTGCTGTTATATGCTGAAATGTAAATTAATATTGCTTACTCCCTCCATTCTGAAACAGATGTCGGTGGAGAAATGTCGCAAAGTTTAAGGAGACAATAATTATCTTGTTAAAATACTATAATGCCCTCATTCACTCTCAATACAATTGTAGTCCAAATAATATTTTGTTCTAATACAATTTTCCATTTCAGAATGGATGGAGTATATTTCTCCGAATGGGGATGGTTTTCCCTCTTCAAATTTTGTCGTTCGACAGCCGGACTCGTTATGTGAATTCCTAATATTGCTTGAAGAGAAAGTATTGTCCATTAGTTGCTGAGCTAATTGTTCCTTTTTCTTCTTTGATGATGTGTTATAGGTATGAACATTTGGCGAAAAGTGCTCCAGCAATATTAGATGATTCCCTTTCTGCTGATTCCTATCTCAATGTTTTGTACATGCCATCTACATTTCCACGTTCGGAGAGATCTAGGCGATCTCAAGAAGCCGCAACTGATAGTTTGACAGAAAATTCTGAGCTTGAAGATGGCCCCCGAAGCAATCTAGACAGTGTTAGATACTTAGAATGTGTTAACTACTTGCAAGAAGTAAGTTTTGAACTGTCCAACCTTTGATGAAATGAGAATTTGTTCTAATACTGATGTTCCTCACTTATTTGTTTACTTGATCTGGGTTTTCACTTCTTGGTGCATTTCATGCTTCCTTGTTGCCATGTTTGGAAATAAGTCCTAATGGCTCTTTCTTAAGTGAAGAGTTGTAGTTGTTTGCTATCTAGTCTCACTTTCTCCAAAATGATAAAGATACAAGTTATAGCCCAACTGTTATACTGAAATTGTTTCCATCCGTTATTGTTGCACACTATCTAAATAGCTAGTTTAGTCCAGCTTACAAGAAATGAGCTGGTATATTATGTAATCTTTATTCCACCCTGTAGTTTGGTTATATAATACTTATGTCAATGTCTGCTGTGCACACGTTTATTTAAATTCAAATAAATCATGTCCTTTTCCGTAGCTTTTGTTTCCAATTCGTTTTGTATTCAACTTTCCATGTAACTTCAACTATTTGATTTTACATGTTTACCCTTCTTATTTGACATCTAGATGTCCCCTCTAGATCATGTTAATAATTCGAGTTCTTGTTTAATCCTATAGGTTATATAAGAGATGTCATGTCTTTATGTGTTTCATCTATAGCTTTGAAATAAGCTACCATTTGCTCCCCATTTCATATTCCGGTGCATTTGTTCTGTTAACAGATCGATAAAGATTTTATGGAGATCTAAATTTTCTTGTTATGTTGTCAAATATTTTTCTTATGAAATGTGCAACCTCCGATTAGGGACTGTGAGAAAATTCTATATGAAGGTACTTCTGTTAAGATTTTGAGAATTCTTTCAAATCTCGAATTAGTTGGGATTTCCTATTTTCTTTATCTAATTCTAACGCACCAAGGGTAACTGGTTTGATTCTCAATTTGAAATGTTTAAATAGTCATGGAACATAATTTTAAGGAACCAATTCTTCATATCATCTTGATGATGTTGCTGAAAATTTCATAATTTTATTTAATTTTTTCCCACTTCATCATATAGTTTGTGGTTATATATGAAGTTCAGTTGTAGAACAGTCTTGTCATCTTTCTCTTTTACAGTCTCTGACCTATTTCTATTTTTCATTAAATCACAGTATGGACGTCAACATTTGCTTGGTTTCATGTTTAAGCATGGCCATTTTAAAGATGCCTGCTTCTTGTTTTTCCCTCCAAATTCGGTTCCTCCACCTCCACAGCCGTCTTCACTTGGAACGGTCAATTCTTCTTTGTCTCCACAAAGACCTGATGCTTTAGCAACTGATTACGGAACAATCGATGATTTATGCGGCTTGTGCATTGGATATGGTGCCATGCCTGTTCTGGAAGAAGTGATAGCGGCGAGAGTTCCAACTTCAGAGTCACAAGATGCATCTGTGAATCAGCACACTGCTGCAGCGCTAGCTCGCATCTGTCTCTACTGTGAAACTCATAAGCATTTTAATTTTCTGTACAAGTTTCAGGTGATTAAGAAGGATCATGTGGCAGCTGGTCTTTGTTGTATTCAGTTGTATATGAACTCCTCCTCTCAGGAGGAAGCTGTAAGTCACTTGGAACATGCCAAGATGCACTTTGAAGAAGGGTTGTCGGCAAGATATAAAGCAACTGATTCTACTAAGGTGGTTACCAAGGGCATTCGAGGAAAAAGTGCTTCAGAGAAGCTTTCTGAAGAAGGGCTCGTCAAATTTTCTGCTAGAGTTTCAATCCAGGTGGATGTAGTGAAATGCTTTAATGCAGAGGGACCACAATGGAAGTACTCTCTCTTTGGGAATCCAAATGACCCTGAAACATTTAGGAGAAGGTGTGAGATTGCTGAGGCTCTTGCTGAGAAAAACTTTGACCTGGCCTTCCAAGTGATTTATGAGTTCAATCTCCCAGCTGTGGACATATATGCAGGAGTTGCTGCTTCCCTTGCCGAAAGGAAAAAGGGTGGTCAGCTAACAGAATTTTTCCGAAACATTAAAGGTACGATTGAAGACGACGATTGGGATCAAGTTTTGGGAGCTGCAATTAATGTGTACGCCAACCGACACAAGGAACGTCCTGATCGTCTCATTGACATGTTGACAAGTAGCCACAGAAAGGTGCTGGCATGTGTTGTATGCGGTCGGCTTAAGAGCGCCTTCCAGATAGCCTCTAAGAGCGGAAGTGTTGCTGATGTTCAATATGTAGCTCACCAGGCATTACATGCAAATGCACTTCCTGTTCTTGATATGTGCAAACAATGGTTGGCTCAGTACATGTGATTAGCACAGCTCACTGTGGGAGCACTATTTTGTTATGAGAGAATTAAGTGAAGGGCGGCGTCAGGCCTCGGCATCATTTGTTGTAAATTTGGTGTGAGACATTAGATGCAGCAATATCTCCGTGGAATTCCAGCAGCGAAGGGTTTCCTCCAGGATATCCAGAACTGCCAGTGTGCATTTTGGGACTAATATGAGAAGATTGAAGTTTCCATGTTTTTGTTTTATGTATGGAAATTCTTGTTGTACAGAGAAACTAATATAGAGTGTATCAGAGCACAGAAGATAGAACCCAGGAGTGGAGTTGTTTTTAGATCTCCCCTCCTTGTTTATTATGGGGATGGAGAAGGGCTTTAATGTTCAGAATTTTTGACCATGGATTCGAAAGACACTCGGTACGGTTGCAATCTTTGTTTATAACGCAAAAATAAATTGATAAAAATGCTCTTCTTCTTTGTTTATACTTGCCAATCTTATATCATCTGTCCTAAACACAGGAGGGTCTTATTCTTCACTCACTGTCTCCTATTTTTCCAAACGTATATTATGCTGCTAGATCCAGGATATATCACTGTCTAAAAACATTTATACTGAACTTTTTTCTCCTCCCAAATTCTTATAATGAGATGCCATCAGGGATTTGGGGGAAAAAAAAAAGAAGTATATTTATGGTTGAAGAAAAGAGGCACTGATTTATGAAGTATGAAGGTGCCAAATTAAAGTCAACTCAATTAGTAAATTGCATTATCTTTATCTTGTTAAACTACATTATCATCTGTTTACATAATCAGTGAAATGATGATACTTCTACATCATTTGGAAAATTAATTTATGGAAAGACCAAAAAGAACAGTTTTCAGTTCAACTATTATGGAATTGTTGTAAGATTCAATTGAGAGACGGTACTTGATTCTATCCCTAAATTTTTCAGAGATTTGCTTATAATCAAGATTGTATGTATATGATGACCCCATTCGTTGATATATCTGAATGGCATTAAAGAAATTAATAAGTCACGCCGCCCAGTAGTAAGTAGCTTAAAGATGACCACGGAAGGTCTGACTTTGGGCACCCATTTTTGGGATTAAAATATTTTAATAAATCCATAAGCCAGTGTCAGCGAGTATTAAGGCTCCAAAGTCAAACTCGTGATAAACTACATCATCTTTTTTTTTCATGAACGAATTGCATTATGTACAAATAATACAGATTCAATGTTAGAACTTAGGGAGGCCAAATTTGGCGTCCTCATCTGAAGCTTCAGGATAGAGCTCCTCTGTTTTTGTCTTCACTAGGGATAGCTTAATCTAATTTCAAGACTTACTAACAAAAAAAAATTACGGATTCAAATTATGGAATTATATTCGGAAAACTTCTCCTAATAATATACCAATTATTACTACTAATCGTTTTATTATTACTAGAAAGAACATTTATCATCATCAGTTTTTTTTTAAGTAAATTTGCTACCAGCCAAATTTCTTTTATTCTATGGTAAACACATTATTCCCAATGTAAAGGTTTTTTTTTGTTTTTTTTTTTGTCGTTGGAAAACAAAGTACCTTTCATATTTATGATTGGTAGAGGATCTTGTGCCCTCAAGTTGCTGCAAAATTCAACTCAATATTTTGATTAACTTCAAAATAATAATAATTGGAGATCGAGTGACAACCGTCCTGTTCTTACGTAGACATGCATTAATTAATTAATATAAAAACACCTATATACCATGAAAATAATTGAGGCAAATTTCAACTTGTAATCAATAATTAAAAAAAAAAAACAAAGGAGAAGGAAACAATACTAATTAATTTTTTTCTGTTCACCTCTTGCTTGACATATACATAACACGTCTGGAGCAAAAAAAAAATGGTGATGATGCAAATCACGAAGCTGCATCATGTCACAATAATTATTTATTCAAAATTTTATTTGTGTCTCCCTAGCTAGCTATATATATATATATATATATAAAAAAATCATTCACCACCCTCTAAATTACTCCATAGTTGCAGAAAACGTTGTGGTGTGAAGAGATGTCAAGAACGACGACGGAAACTTTGCAGCAATCGCCGACGCCACTGTTGTTCCGGCGACATTCGAGCGGCGAAGTAAGGAACTTAGCATCGGTGTCAAGTAGCCTTCTACCGGCTTTTGGCACTGCTGTGGGTGAAGGCACTTTAAGCCTCAAAAAATATGTCATTGCACCTTATGATCGTAGATATCGGTACGTATAATCATAATGTTCTTCTACTTCTTTTTCTTCCTTTTATTGTAAATTTTTTTTTTGGTTTTTAAACATTAGACTAGAACCCTTTGATCTTCAAAAGTCCAACCATCTTTGATGATGATTGATTTTCTTTTAGGTGAGGCGAAATTTTTGGAAGTAGACATATGAGAAGTAAGAAACATAATGAGGAAGTAGAGAATAAGAATGGCTGATTATGATACCCTAATCATGATCTGCAGGTTGTAGTTGAATTGTAATAGTATATACATAGCAGGAGCAAAACCCAAAGAGAGAGAGAGAGAGAGAGAGAGATTTTAGTGTGGAAATACTGATACACACCTTAATCTTTCGTTTCCTGTAGTACTTATGACTTGAATACTAATAATATAACTCAGTAAATGGGTGTGATTCTAAAACTTTGTATAGATTTTACTTCATCCTATGTATGTTAAATGGGTATAGATTTTACTTCATCCTTGTCTTACTACTGGAAAAAATTTCCAAACTGAAATGGTAAACAGTGTGTTGTTATATTAAAGTTTCTTCTTCAACCAACCCAAGTTTTCAGTATTTTATGGGCTCTTGCTGAAGAAATCCCAATATTAGCTAGTCAAATGTTGGCTAGTTTCACTGGGGATTTATCATAAAAATAGTCTAGTTTGTTGAATTCAAATAGTGTATCTTGTAATTATAACCGTAACGTGTAATGCAGATGGTGGCAGGCATTTCTGGTGTTGCTGGTGGTGTACTCGGCGTGGTCATCTCCGTTCGAGCTAGCATTCAAGAAAGTAGCAACTGGATCACTTCTGCCTGTTGATTTGATAGTGGATGGATTCTTTGGCATTGATATCATCCTTACTTTCTTTGTGGCTTACTTGGACAAATCTACTTATTTGCTTGTCGACGACCACAAGAAAATTGCCATGAGGTAACCGCTAAAATTATTTTACTAACTTTCAAAAACATTTTTCAAAAAGAAATAAGCACATCAATCTACCCCCAAAAAAAAAAAAAAAAGCTACAAATTTAGATTCAATATTCAATTTTGACTTAATGACCTGATGATCCTCGATTCGAATGATACATGAAGGATACCGGAGGACTAGTTTGTTACTTTTTAGAGCATAAACCAAAGTATAGATGGAGGTATACAATACTAATGAGACAGTTAGCCATATTCCTATGAGATTTTGACAATAGAAACAAAGTATTGACTCTGGTTGGTTTTATCTGATGATAGGTATGTCAAACACTTATGGTTTCCGATGGATGTAGCTTCGACCCTGCCATTTCCGGTCATCTATCAGATCTTCACCGGAGGAAGAAGACCTCGCGGTGAGGTATTTGGTTTCCTCAACTTGCTAAGGTTATGGCGACTTAGACGTGTTAGTGAACTTTTCTCCAGGCTAGAGAAAGACACTCGGTTCAGCTACTTCTGGACTAGATACTTCAAACTTATATGTGTGAGTCCTATTACTTCCTTACTTTTGTTACAAACTCACAGATTCAAATCATCAAAACTCGCTTAATCCATATTTTGTTAACTACAGGTGACCCTTTTCGCGGTTCACTCAGCGGGTTGCTTCTACTTTTGGCTGGCAACGCATCATCACATATCCAATGATACCTGGATTGGTGCTATAGTTCCCAATTTCCAAGAGAGAAGCATTTGGTTGGGATACACTTACTCCATGTACTGGTCTATTGTTACCCTCACAACCGTTGGCTATGGAGATTTGCACGCTGTCAATACAGGAGAAAAGGTTTTCAACATGCTGTACATGCTTTTCAATATAGGTCTTACGGCTTACTTGATCGGAAACATGACCAATCTTATTGTCCACAGTGCTGTTCGAACTTTTGCCATGGTAGAACCTTTAGCGGCTTCATATTACTAGGTAAAGTTCAATCAGATTCAGTGTTCCTAACCCACGTGGTAAAATCCTTACTGCAGCGGGATGCTGTTAATGAGATCCTGCGATACGGGAGTAAGAACCGACTTCCAGAAAGCTTGAGAGATCAAATGCTAGCACATGTTACACTCAAATTCAAGACCGCAGAACTCCAGCAAGAAGAAGTACTAGAAGGTCTACCAAAGGCAATCAGATCTAGCATTGCTCAACATCTTTTCCGTAAGACAGTAGAAAATACTTACCTTTTCAAAGGAATCTCCGAGGACCTCCTTTTCCAACTGGTAAACTCCTTTCACAGTTTTAAACTCCAAACAGAATGAAAAATGCCACTATGGCGAAAAAAGAGAAAGGAACCAAGCATGACTGTGTTTTTTCTCCTTGATTATAGGTTCCAGAGATGAAAGCAGAGTATTTCCCGCCCAAAGTTGATATCGTTATACAGAACGAGATATCAACAGATTTCTACATTGTTGTGTCTGGAGCTGTGGTATATATTCTTTCACAAATTTAACTGAGAAAATTCTTTTCACATGCAAAACTGAACAGTCTGAATTTGCAGGACATATTAACACACAAAAATGGAATGGACCAGGTACACTTCCCAACTTAAAATTCTTCTGATTCCTATTATCATCTCGGATGAAAAGTAAACGACAATCTAAAACTAAGACCGATCGAACTAGAAGCAAAAAGATGCAGGAATGAGAGTAGCAGAGTTGAGATCATACAGTAGCCTTAAACAATTGAATGTCGCTAATATCATGTCAGATAAAGTGAAACTCAACAATAAACACATATGCAGTCTTAAGAAACCATGAATTGGTCATTGGTAGATTTGGTATATCTGCATTGAAGATGCCATACTATAGAAAGTACTACTTACATATCGTCAATTATTGATATTAGACAAATATGGAAATTACCAAACCAAGAAGAAATAACTAGTCATCACAGTTCAGATGCACTTTAATAGTTAACGATTTCTACAGACTCCTTTGGAGAAAGAATCCAAGGCAGCATCATCAGTAGAGTTCCCAATGTGTTTCTCTCATCCTCAGCCTTCAACAAACTGTTCATATAAGTAGACAAATGAAGAACCATGCCAATTAGTCACTGAAGTTTTCTTTAAAAAGTGGATCAAGCTACAAGCCTACAATGATGCCTAATTTCTAAGTGTATTGCTATATAGTGCTTTTACCTACAAAAAGTTGCCAAGTTCACCACAACTATAAACAGGAACTAGATAAAAATACAAAGTACAGTACATTCTAGTTGATAGAGAAGCAGCAGAGGTTGTTAGAGAAACCAAAAGCACATAAAATGAAAGTAATTTAAACAAGCATTTCTCATCTTGGCCGCTTCAAACTTGTATAAATTCTTGAATATCTACTTTGTGGTTCACTAATATGGACGGTGGGTTCTTCAGTTCCTATCAAAGTTAGGGCCACCGGATATGTTTGGTGAAATAGGAGTAATTTTGAACATCCCACAACCTTTCACAGTGAGAAGTAGGAGACTATCTCAGGTCATACGGATCAGTCATCATCATTTCAAGCAATTATTGCAGCCCATTAACGAAGATGCGAAGAAAATTCTCGACAACTTTCTCCAGGTGAAGTATAACAAAAATATTTTTTTCCAGTTTTGAGTTTTTTGCTGCCTCAGTTCGGATTGCCTTCATTGCCTTCATTGTAGGTGCAACTAGATTCCTATACAAAATTATATTTATTGACAGCCCACGTTCAATAACCAAATTTTTCTGTATTTTAAAGCATTAAAAGTGGCGTTCTTCCTTTTCAGAATTTGAAGGGGCTAAGGAAGGAGTTGTTGGACGAGATACCATACATAACAGATATACTGGGAGACTGCACAGAGGTAATTCTTTTTTATTTTTCTCCAGGAATGTGCTTAAAATGTGCCATCAGTGACTTCTGGATAATCATATAGAATAGGTTTAACCCGAGCCACGATCTTATCAAAGGGCATGATATTCCTTCTTTCAATAATATGCATTCAGTATATACTACAGTTTTCCTACATAACACATAATGAAAATCAGACTCATTGCATATGATTTTACATAGATCCAAAAAAATGATCTGTGCCTCACCGTGACTATTCCTTAATTCACTACAGAAAACACCCTGGTCTCTAATTTAAACATTAACTGATACTAAACCTTAATTTCTAACCTTGACCCATGAAAGAAATCAGATAACAGACTCATTGGAAGTCCCTGCACAATCTTGGCTCCTTAGTCATCAAAAACTTATGAGGATGTGTTCTCACCAAAGATAAAACAAAAGACGTGGCTTTTTTTTATTTTACTTTGTGAACCAATATTTCTTCAAGAGTTCTCCAAACACATAATAAAACCCAAATGCCCAAAGTTTTAAAGAAAACAGCAGATTCTGCTTTCTATTTAGGGCCCTACAGAGAGTCTAAGAAATCCAAATGCTAATGAGAAGTTTTGCATGCCAAACATGAAATAGAAAATGTCCCAGCAAGAAAGGAAATAACAACAGACTGCACCAAAGAAAATGGTAAAAAGCAACCACCACAAAAATTCAACAAGTTACTCATCAAAGTGTCTAAAATGAATGATTGATGAAGAGCTCATCTACTTGTGAATGGAATTTATCTGTCTGTCGGTTACCAGTTACATAGAGTTAAGACATAACCATTCAAAGCATTACATGGTATAATGTCATCTGTAGGTAACTACAGCAGCGGGAGGATCAGACAACAGCCGACTTGAGGAAGAAGCAAGAAGTAAGTCCAGGTCCATATTGTACAATAAGGCCACTTAGATAAACAGAGTCGAAATTCCCATTGCTATGAAATGAATTCGAGAAACAGAATTTTTGAACATGTTACATCACACAGCAGATTCAGATCCGAAACTTGGAATCACTAATTAGGTCCTGACAATCACAGAAAACTTATTTTTCACCCGTTAAACCTTTCTATCTTAGGCTAGGCTAAGTCTGCGAAATTTTATTCTCAACAATACATTTCAATTCATACACTATACCCGATAAACCAAGTGCTTCAGTTAGTGCCTGATATTTCTCAAATAATATTAGGTCACTAATTTTCAATACATGTTCAAATCTCATAGAGAAATTCTTTTTTTTTTTTTTATCTCATAGAGAAATTCTTTTTTTATCATCTTGAAGGGAATTCCACAGCTTATACTTTTCCAGATACATTGCCTACACGAGTAGTGATTCATGGATATCATCCAGATGATAAGATAGATGAAGGGGAAAATCCAGGAAAACTAATTCATCTGCCTGATACAGTAGAAGATCTTCTCAAAATAGCAGGTGAGCAGTTCTGAGAAACTTGTTTATGAATCACCTTAAGGAATGATATTTTCTATTGTTTCAAAAGCGTTCCACCAAAATTCCTGATTTCTCAGTACAAATGAGTATGTTTGTGAAACTAAGAGGTTTCCATATTCTTGAGAATAGAGTATTAGCTTTGTAAAGCTTTTATAGGCATGATCAATGAGATAGTGCAGACTGACCAGCAGCCAGATACATCAGATCAGGCTTACAGCTACTGATTTTATATTACTTATGTGTATCATTTTGTGATTGCAGAAAAAAGGTTTGGAAAGAAAGGAACATCAATACTCATGGCAAATGGATCTCAAGTGGAAGACTTGAATGCACTAAGAGAAAATGATCACTTGTATATTCAGTAATAGAAACCACACAGAGCAGGCGGAGTTTTCAAGCAAGAACACAATTTAAATAAACTTTGCTGTCACCCTTATATCACGAAGAACAAAGGAGATATGAATCCACTGTTAACAGTGAGAGATTTACATGTATATATGTTTTCATACTTATGAGTACAAAGTTAGAGATAAAAAGCTAACCTCAAAGCTTTCATGAATCGTCCTGGTTAGTCAACATACTTAATGTAGCATAAGCAGCTTTCTGAACATACTCTTTCTCTTCTTCAAGAGTTCTTTTTCTCTCAAGAGTAACATTCTTACAGTTTATCAACCCAGCTGTTACTGAAGAAGAGCTTTCACCAATTTCACTGCAGGATTTCACGGTAACTATGTTAAAAGAAGAAGCTAATAATGGCCTACAGAACGACATATTTTGAAATATGACTTAAGGATTTCATACTGATTATAAATGAAGAATATTAAATGAAAACTATTACCTTCAGTGATGCGAAAATAACACAAGAATATGGCGGAAAAGTAAAACACAAGAAAGAACCAAACAAAAAGAGCAAAAGGATGAGATTTAGAGCTGAACATAAACTAAATACAGCGCACAACAATCTGCGCTGCTATTGATATAAGAGAAAAGAAGTTAGTGCGATATATTTCAAGTAAAACAAGGCACAAGTCATACGTCCAAGTCATGCGTTAGAAGATGGAGGAGAAAGCTCTGTGAAAGGTTAAGGCTGTTCAGCTTACTTAATCATCTTAAACATATCTTCAGCTGCAACCTGTACCCGCTGCATGAGATCTGCCAAAATCATATGCAGTGTTAAATTTTTCAACCAATACCTAACGAATAACCAAATTTACTATGAAGCTTCCAAATAATTAGATCCAGAATTAGTAGTGCTTTTACAAAGGCTTATCAGAAATTTAACTCTTCCACACTTCTGCATGTTACAAGGCAACAAAATATGAATAAATCACTCCAATCTTTCAAAAGCAAGTAAGGCATATATTCCAAGGGAATTAGCGAAGATTACCTTAGAATTTTAATTTTAAAAAAACAGCTAAAGGAATTGCAAGTTGTTGACATTAATTAAATCCTACTCCAACTATCTAATGGTACATATATCTCAGATACCACTCACAATGGAACAACATTTGAATTTCAAAACATTTCTGGTGCCTACGAAGCGGCAAAGCTCAGTATCAAATGACGATTTACAAACGAGTATCGTAGAAACGAGTAGCGCAAAACAAAAATGCTCATAATGACAGCAAATAAGGGGAAAAACACAAAAAACGTAATCAAATCCGACTATTTACGAAAAGAACTCGAGTGATACGGTAAAATCTCTTCAATCGTTATAATGTAAAAGTCTACGCAGAGCAATAAGAAAAAATCCGGCCAAAAATTCCCTAAATGATGGGGGAATTTCGCATATCTTAAAGCAGGAAAAGAAACGAACCTTGAACGAGAGAGGAGAGCTGAGATTCAATGTCGGAGCGTGAAGTGTCGAGTTCGGTATTCGACGGAGAAGACGCCATTGCGGTTTGTGAGCGAGAAATCGGACACACAGTCACACAGTGGTTGAGCAGGTGAACTTTTTTCGCTGGGATCGTAGAGAGTAAGCAGAGATCGACCGCGCTTTTGTTTCGCAACACTGATTTCAGCTAATTTTATAAAGATTCTTTACTTTTGAATTTTTGGGCCGTAATGGATTTGGGCTGCAGGACACACGTTTTGTTAAGGAAAAAAACTAAAGAGAGAAAAACTGAAAGACCATTTAAGTTCTGCTAGAATTCCAATTTTAGATCGATTAAAAAAAACAAAAAACTAATAATCAAAAGAAAAACCAGCGCTATTTTCATGAAAGTATTCACACACACAAAAAAAAAATCAATAATTACAGGACTACTGAAAGTTCTATCCTAATTACAAACATTCACTCTGTAAAATAGTCCATTCCTATGTAATATAGTGATGTCTGGTCGCGCAATGCGCGACTCTGGCCCAGTCTATCTGTAGATCTTAGAAATATTTATATTTGAAAAAAATAAAATTTTGTATTTGGAGCGATATATTTTAGAAATTTTTGAAGGATTTAGACATGTTTTATAAGTGTGATCATAGAAATATTTGTATTTCGCAAAAAAAAAAAAAAATTGTATTTCGCCATATATGTTTTATAAGTGTTACTTATTAAATATAAATAGCTTAATCGAATATATGTGTTGAAGTAAATGTTAGATAAAATATAAAAGCATCCTAATAAATTTAAATATTAGTAAGATGATTTATTGATGTTCTCCATTGGTCGTGCCAAATCAATACTTAGTTTTGGAGATTTTTAATAGCTTTGTAATAAGTTTCATCCGAAGGGTATACGCTTAAAACAAAATTGACACTTTGTAACAAAAAACCTAATTGATCAATTCAATTTAAAAAACCACTCTAGTTGAATGAAACATAAAGAAAAAATTAAAAAAAAACGTGCAACGTAAAGTGCAAAGGGAGATTTAGTAATTTAGTTATGGTTAGACAAAAGGGCAATTTAGTATTTTCTACATGCCACGTGGCAATCATATGAGGTGTTTGAAAGGAAGGTTTTTGTTTCTAATATAGTAGGATTTTAATTCATTGATAAAAATTAGTTTCTTAAAAACGGGAGAAATATATTTTAAAAAATCCTAAATTTAATTGGCTTTTCCTATTTATGCCACCAATTCACTAAACTACCATTATTACAACATCATTTGATCACCATAGTCCCTCTAAAAAGCATGGATGACTCGGTAATATCTATGGTTTTAGATGTTGACTTTGCAAGTAATACTAACCGCTTCATAAACCATCATGCCTTAGTGTAAACTTTTGTACTAAAAAATTGATGATTAGGCAAAAAAATTCAACCATTTTTCCATCATTGCCAATGGCCAATCTAAAGTAACAAAAGACAACAAAAATCGCTCGATGAGTTCTCTTCATCTGAGCTTTCAATTTCCATTAGCCTTCTAATCTTTCAGAACTAAGTAACTATTGGCCTAATACCTAAAAGTTAACTTCCTCAAGCTTATAAAACCAAAAAAAAAAAAGAAAGGGAAAACTTAAGAAAATTGAGAAATGAGCTTAACTTAATAAAAGATGCAAAATTTATCCTGTAATGAATGAAGACTTTTATGGAACACATCTGAGTCTGGCAAAGGTCAAGTAGCCGGTATGACCTCTCCCTTCACTACAAGGCTTCGCCAAGACTGTTGTACAAGTAGCAGATCCTTCGACTACATTGCTTCCATCACTAGAACGCTGCCTCTTTTTCCGAAACTTCTGAGAAGCCCCACCAGTGTAGTTTTGCCAACTCTGTAACCTTTCTTCTCGAACCTCAAATGACCGAAGGAGCACTTCAAACGTTCTGATGTCTTCAGAAACGTAGAACATAACATCAGCACTAAATTCAACATTGCAAATGAATGTAAACAACATACCAGAATATTGTATAAAGCTCCAAGAATTCAACGGATTTTACCAGTAAAACATGTTTTTAGTGTTTCACATGATCGTTGTACTTGTTCAATGCAAGGTGAGAAGGAACACAGGACTCCATCTTCTTTTAACATTCTCCCTGCAGAAGGAATGGCAAGCCAGGGTTGAGGAAGGTCGAGAAAGACTGAGTCTACCCATCCAGTGAATTCATCAGGGAAACCTTCTCCCTGAATATCTCTGACCCCCACCGTGACTAGGCTGGTCAGTCCTGTCTTTGCAAAATCCTCCCTATACAAGAAATTATGAAACCCTCTAAGCAAAGATTTTGATACCGAGAAAAGAAGAACTACAAAAGTTTCAAGATGCATAGAACTAGCTAGGACATAAACCCCCCAATTTTTCCTAAATGATTAAGAAAAATCATATTAATTACTCAAATAAACAAACTGAATCAAACAGGTCACCCGATACAGATTAAAACTACAGAATTTAACATATATGGTCACCCGATGTGTAATGAAAATTATAATTTATATAACTTTTGAATACTTTGCTTCATTACTAACCTAGCCAAAGAGGCCCTTTGTTCATGGAAATCAAAGGTGTACACATGTCCCGTAGGAGCAACAGCTCTCGCAAGTGAAGTCGTTAAAGATCCACTTCCCGTACCTGACTCAAGGACGATGCAACCTGGAAAAATCTCCAGGTACATGATAACAAAGCTAATATCTGCGATATAAAGGATCTGCGTTCTGTGGCTCAACACAAGGGTCCATAACTCAGGAGTCGGAGCTAATAAGTAAACAAACCCGCCTTTATTGCTGAACACTTTAGACCCAAATGGTTTACCAATCCAACTCTCATGCTTGAACACGCCAAAGCGATTTTGAAGAATTCCATTCTCGCATACTTTAACAGCTTTCATCACATCATGCCTCTCATACACAATAACCAAATCACCAACACTTATGAATCGATTGAATGATAACTTCTTTTCCAGTTCTGTCGGAAGCATTATTCCACAACTTGTGCTTAATGTAAGAACTCAATCCACAAATCTGCCACCAATGGGTTACAGTTAGCTACAAAAACTCTCAGACAGAACGATCTACTACATTCATGCGATCAACAACAATGGGGCTAACAATTTGCTAGTTCCTATCAAAAGAAACTTAGAAAAGCACCATCTTTGGACTTCTGAAAGTAATTGAGAAGGCCAGGAACATGATTTCAAATAGCAAAAAACACAAAAATTTACTCAAAAGCCTCAAATTCCAGCATGAACAAAGTTTTTTAAAAAAAAAAATTGCAGAAGCATAATCGTAGTCTTCAAAGAAAGCCTAAAATCAGCTGCAACAAAAGCAAAAGGCAAAAGTGATTGAAGTACCTCCAAATTCAACTCTTTCTCCCAAAAAGGGAAGTGTTGTACTTTGAATTGATAATAAACCAGCCAATAATAATAATAATAATAATAATAATAATAATAATAATAATAATAATAATAATAAATACAACAAACTACTTTCTGCTACAAATTTGAAGGCTCAGAGCCGTCACAAGCAATGCTGGAAACACATTACACCACAAAAATGAATGGCCCCAGATCATATCTTGAAAATTCCAATCTTTTTTAAATAATTTCTTCTATTGTCTCAACTCTCAACTTTACATAGCACTGAAACCGGGATTCAGAAGAAAGCTAAACGGAAGCCATTGTCCTTTACTAAGCAACCAACCCAGAACTCAAATTGCAAAGCGTTCAACAGAGTTATTTTCTCGTTTTCCCTGTTCTCTTCTTTTCCTTAATTTCTCGAAAGCTAGGAAACCAATATAAGCGGAAACAAATACTCCTTCCGACTCAAAAACAAAAAAAAATAATAATAATCATATTGTACAACGAACTGGGAAGTAGGAGGAAAGGAAATCAAACTAACCCTTTTTGAAAAGCGAACCAATCTTCGAAATCTGGGAGCCTCAGAAGTTGTTTGGGGGAGAAAGGGAGCTTATGTTATGGAGGTCGGGTCAAGGAGGAATGAAATAGGGCGGTAAAAATAGATGACACGAAAACTCGAATCAGAAACTGATTTATATAATAATGTATGTTTATTTTTATTTTATTTTTATTAATTTATTTGTGCATATAATAGAGTTACTTCCTTAAATTATAGACAGCTTGATAGTTGATAGAATGACTAGTCCTAGTGTTAATTCCTTAAATTAAAAACAGCTTGATAGAACCTACTGTTTGGTCGCACATGCCTGCGACTCTTTGTTAAACACAGCCGGACGATTTTCAGCATATATTAATGAAATCTCTTTTCCCTCAAAAAAAAAACAAAAAAGAAAAAAATAGAGATTAAAACTGAATTTATGGTTCTTTTGTGGCTTTTTCAACTATGTAAGACGCTAGTAATGCTCTTGGTAGCATCGTTTAAAAAGTCTTAAAGACTCTTAATATTGTATATACAATATTGATAGCTTCTCATGATTTTTGACTTTATATATAGATTTGTGAACTTATATGTTGGTCAATAAGTAACCAAGAACAATGCCACCAGAGTCAGTTAAATCTGTAAAGAAAATCTTGCACTCTACAGATTACAGCAACAAATCAGCCCTTCTATTTTCATGATTCTCTGTATTTCCGTGCCCTCTTGCTAGGGGTTGTGTTGGATGAAGCCTTGTTCAGGCGAAGATATGTACAGTATACAGCAAAAACACTTTATCAGTACTATATAAGAATTGCAAATTCTACAGCAGAAAGATGTAAAAAGAGAAAAAACCCTTTTGGCATTAACATCAATCACCAAAGTCAATCCCTAATAACTGATTCTCTGGAGAGGTAAGAGCGGTACAAATATCTGACTTCTCCAATTCCAAATGAATGTGAGTTGTATCAATGACTACTCTGCATGGTTCCACATCCTCATCGCCAATCAAGACACAGCAGTTTTTGTACAAACCCTCGACAGGGGCAAGATTTAGTAAACAAGATTTCGGCACCAAAACCTTGTTATCACTAACAGTACATTCCTGCTGGTTGAAATTCAGCATGAGTCGATGGTGCCGACCCAAAAGCTCCGACACATATTTCATTTGCCCTTTAGAAAGGGCATGGCGTACACGTGTTGATGAAACTTGGCCTTGCTCCTTTGAGTTGCTATTGTAGATCCCGTTAGGGTTTGGTTGATTCTTATCCAGGACCGAATTGATTATGTAAGCTCCCATGCCGTACTCCTCACATAACCTAACTAGATCAGATGCATCGCCTGCAGCCCTATATCCAAACCTATAGTTTTCACCTATTGATATACATTATCTTAGCAAGCTGCGAAAGACAAAAACAACAAAAAGATCAAAAAAGATGATGGGTAAAATGACATACCTGCAACCACGCCATGTACCCCAAGCTCCATGGATAGCTTCTCGACAAACTGACGTGGACTGAGAGACCTAACTTTAGAGAAGTCAATCTCAAATTCCTGGGGTGTTACATTAGCACAGTATGGCGCCCAAGACTTGAGAACTCTTTTCCTATCACATTTGGCAACTATCGGTGCCCTGTTTATACAAAAATTCAAAAAATTAACTGAGTATTTATCATACCTCCTCTCGTCCAAAAAGAATGTCAACAACCAAAATTAATGAAGAAAAAACAATGTCAAAATTCTGATACATACGAAAAGGTGGAAGTTTAACCACCAAAAACTGAGAATATGAATAAAAGATTTCATATGATCTTTGCAGTTTAGTGGCGATCCATCATTTGTGACCTTGAATACAATTATAACTAACTTCAAATGCAATTTTCTCCAGAATTACATAGAATTTTCCAGATTATTTGAAACTGTACGTCTAAGATTTCAGAAACACGAGGCGCAATTCAAAGAGATGATGGGACATTATAGTCAGGGGGTAAATGACAACACCAAGCTTTAAATGCATTTCTTAAGCCCCCTTTTGGTTTACCAAGACAGGAGAAAAAGTATACTGTACCTAGGTTCCCACCCAAGTACTTCGGCCATGCCAACAAAAGATAGAAGAAATGGGATTCCAACTTTTGATGCTTGGATTGCAAGTTCTCGATGGCCAACGTGAAGGGCATCAAATTTTCCCAAAGCAACTATCCCGCCTATAAAAGCGAAGTCAAATTAGAGAATATTAATAACATTATACAGATAGTGATAATCAACATCTTACTACAGCAGCAATATCACCAAATAACACCATAAAACAGATGCAGAAAGGATGAAAAAAGAGGAAGGGCCAAAGGCCCTCTCCATGTGAGGCAAGTACTAAAGACAGAACAGGGGCCATGCAGAAAGGTTTACAGAGTCGGGATGCATCTGGCAAGTGAATTCTTCTACGTGGCGAGTACTCTTTCAAGTAGTTAGGTGGAGAAGAAGCATGTATATGAAATGGGAAACAACAATTAAGCACCAGAGCAGCAGAAAAATAAATTCCATTTAAATATCAATTACTCATGTGATGAACGCAGAAATGTCAACTAAGATTGCTAGTAGAGAAGCATGAGCTTAAACAAACAAAAACCCATGGGAAATTCTACAGATTTAAAATTTCCATTGCATAGTATCCTCTTAAACTAGCAAGAAAAAAGTAGTCATAAATCAAGAATGACAACAGCGACAACTGAATGAGTTCATAGCATCACAGCAGAGGCAATTAGCAGAGAGACAGAACTAATATTAGCTCAAGAAATCTCAGAATGTAAACATCTCAATGAGAAAGAAACTTATGATTCCCGATAGACATGCAATTGGATATGTAGATAAAAACACTTCGAGAACCTTGACAGAAAGAAAAAGGGGAAAAGAAAAATAAATTTTTTGTATAAAAAAAAAGGCATATAGTAGGCGAGAAGATGCATATAACTGCGCCGCTTCAAATGCACCTAAAACCTAATCCTTACATGACCATTATTCAAACTCTTGAAACCAAACAGCAACATATCAAACATACATTTGTGACTTCTGAGCATTAATTGTGTAAGTCATTCAATATTAAGCCGAACATACTTTTCTAATATTACCCAAACTAACACACTAACCCCCCAAACAATACACCCAAAAAATTTTATAATAATAGTAATAAATAAAATCTCATAACTGCATACGCAACATAAAAGCGGTAAGAAAGGCAATGATCAAACACATGCTATTTTTTTCTAACTGCTAGTCATATTACCCAGATATAATTCAGTAAGGAAAACAATAATTATAAAGGTAAGGACAATGGAAAAACCTGCAACAGGGGACAATAGTTCAGATGGAGGCTCCTGACCATCTTCATTTTGGCTACACAAAACAATCAAAAAGACAAATGCAATTAAGAAGCTAGCTCCAAGAGAAGATATCAATCAATTTGCCACATCAAGGAACATCTTCATGCCAATCGTAAGAATGCAAAATCCAAACTTTACTCTTGAAAAAGTATTCCACAATGAGCAAAGACTGCGACAAAGGTCAACAAAACACTATATTCATCATGCTAATCAAGGATATGAACAAATACAAGATTAAGTTATTTGGCCTCAATACCAGACTATGATACATTATGCATCTCAACGCCTTTTTTTGCTCTCCATTCTCCATTGCTTATAATTGCATTTTTAAAAATAAAGAAAGAAAGGGGCATACATCATTCTGCTATATATTTAGAATTATCCCATGAGAACCCAACAAATTCTCTGAAAAGATCAAAACTTTACTAAAATCCTATATTCCAGATACCGAAATGACAAAATTAAAAGAGAACCCAATAAAACCCAGCATCCCAAAACTTAAAATTTCACGAATTTGCATAATCATAGCCCATTCAAGTAAGTACCTTAAACAACCTGAAAGGGGGTGACTTTGGGCGTGATGGACACATCGCGGAGAAGGGCCTCCCCTATCATTATCACTAAAACTGGCATTACCAGTACAATTTGATAAAAACCTAAATTTTGTTGCAGAGAAAGAGGAAGGAATGGAGGCTGGCCTAAGAACAAACAGAGAAAAAGAATTTCTAGGACTCAAACCATGGTTACAGTAGCAATATTTAGAGGAAGAGAAATTAAGGGCTAATTGGAATTGGAGATGAGGATTCAAGTAGAGCTGATGATGGTGGTGGTGGTGACGGGAGAAAAGTGTTCGGGAGCTGCTCAAACTCAACATAGTACGAAGACCATAAAGAATTGGATGGAAGTGAAATAGGGAGTAGTATTAGCAGCAGCCTCAAAAATGGAAAAACACCAACGTTAGAATATCCAAGGGATTATAAGAACACTGGATTAGTTTTTATCAAATTGTGGCACCTTCCAACATGTCTAAAAATTAATCTCATTCAAAACAACATCTGAAAGTCTTTGGAAGAAATTTTCTGTCTAATTTTTTCTACATTTGTTCTATATAGTAGTGTAAATTGGCGGGTTGGGCTCTAAATTGTAGCCATAAAACATGGTTGAATCCGAAACCGATTTAATCATGAAAATTTGGGACCTTGAGAACTTGAGATCATTTTTTTTGTTTTTTGTTTAGGTCTGAGTTGGAAATTCGGAACTTGGATCTTTTTCTTTCATTTTTTTTTTTCATTTAACATCCAAAATGTTAAAAAGAAATATATCAATGAAAAATAGTAATATTTTCCCAAAAAAAAAATACATTTATATACTCCTCCGGTTATAACTTATGAATATAAGGTATAAATAACTAATTTCTAAGAATTAAGTAAAACAGTTGGTTTTTTTTTTGAACTATATATTATTTATATTGAAAATGTCTCCATTCTTTTAGGAACCAATCAAATTAAAGTTTAGTAAAATTAAGTTGGGTAAGTTCGAAGTACACTAGCACCATAAATAAAACTTTAAAAACATCAAATGCTTAATAAATAATAAAAATGAAAACTTTAAAATTATCTTATAATAAAAATTATAGGGGATAATTATTTTAATTCTATAACAATATTTTTTTGGACATTGTAGAATTCAAACTTTACTACTATTTTCAGACTAAGGGATATTGTATTTTGACTCCATTTTGTTGATATGAGGGAGTAATAGTGATGACATGACACTTTTTGGGGATTTGGAAAGGAGACCAACACTTCTATTTTTTTATTTTTTAAAAAAAAAATTCACCCCAGTGGAGTCCACGTAAATGTGGGTAAAGTCCTCCCCCTCTCCAACTCCTGTTGGGAATCGAACCCTAGTCTATTACCAAAAAAGAATAGTAACCTAACCGCTAGGCAGTCTTTCAATTCCCCGGCCAACACTTTCATTTTGATGGGCTCCTTCTTGAGATGATGAAGCTCAAACATATTGGGCTTAGAGAATCTAGATGCCCCAACAAACTTTGCTAGACTAAAGGATGAGATTTGAATCGATCCAGTTGGAGTCCCTCCAGCTTAGAGAAGTTTTCGATGAAATCTGCTTACTTTTTTCTTATGCAGGATAGTTGGAATGAAACGAATCGGGGCTGACAACTGATTTAGAAGTGGTTTGGCCCTGAAAGAATTAAAACTTTTCTTTGGTTGTTATACAGGAAGGTGCTGTTGATTAACTCTAAACGGAAAAGACGACATTTAACGGATGACGCAAGTTGTCATTACTGTGGAGAAGAGGAAGACTTTTTTCACTTGTTCAGAGACTGTCTCAGGAGCCGAGAATTATGGCGCAGCTACAGCCATTTGTTGGAACCAGAGTTCTGGTTAGCAGGTAATTGGAAACAGTGGATTAGAGCTAATCTTAAATCGTCGGTTTTGCAAGAATGTTGTAAATGGTCACTATGGTTTGCTGTTACCTGCTGGAAGATATGGGTGTCAAGTAATGCTGAAATTTTTTGTGAAACAATAACAACTGACAGATCCCTCAAGTTCATAATCAAAGCGGTGGTCAGAGAAATAGCTCGTACAAATCAACTTAGTCCTCCGAGAGGTGAACGTAGACAGAGACTCAACCATCAGATTCCATGGTCACCTCCTCCATCAAATAGTGTCAAAATTAACACAGACGGAGCAAGTTCAGACACAACAAGGAAGGCGGCGGCTAGGGGAGTGATTAGAACCTCAAGTGGAGAATAGATCATAAGTTTTACAGCTAATTTAGGTTATTGTAATAGCCTAGAAGCCTAGTTATGGGGGCGTATTTTGGCCTTCAGATTGCCTGGATCCTTGGCTTTCACAACATTATATTGGAGTTGGACTGCTTACAAGCAGTGCACTTTTTGACAGGCGACATTTTCGCCAATGTAAATAGCCACATCTTTTGTAAAATTAGAGATTTACTAAACCTCCAGTGGCAAATGTTAGTGACTCATGTCTCCAGAGACAAAATGTGGGTTTCTCCTGCCCGTATGGCAACCACATTTTGTCAGCTCCTCCACCACAAGTCATGAGCCATTTAGAGTTAGATAGAGTAGGACCTCCCTGACTTGATGGGATGTTTTCTACTAAAGCCATCGGCTTCCCTCTTACATATAAAAAAAAGGATGAGATTTGATATAAAGTAAAAATATTAATAATAATAATAATCATGTATATTAAAACATGACATATTCTGCACGTGTGGCATTAAATTATTAGCCAATTAAAAAAAGTTGACAAATAGAGCTCAACTAGATGGTGTAACTATTTTGAAGTATTCTTTTTATTCAACTTATTTACAAGTTTAAAAAATAAAATTATTTAACCAGAACAATATTTAAATTAACTAAATCAATATCTCAATATTTTTATTTTTTTTGGTGAAACTGTAAACTTGCGTTAACATATAAATTGGTCTGTTTGAGTACAAGCTTCCTACCAAAATTTCTATATTTATAACACATTTACAAAAGTTTCCAACTACTGAAACAAACTATGAACAATGTTTTACTCCTCTAGTGAGTTTTTTTGGATTTGCAGTGCAACACTCTAACTTTGATCTGTCTCTGAATTTCCTGAAACATTACTTCCACCGTTCTCCTTGGATTTCTAAAAATCCTGACATTCCTTTCTTCTCATATACTGTAAATGCAGGCTGTCACCACAGCATATGATATTTGTTTCTTCAATCATGTGTTCTTTGAGATATACACCATTTTCTTTTTCCATCTATTCATTTCATTAAACAAGTCCCCTAGCTCCCAACCAGCTTCTCACATTGTTCATTAGATCACAAGCAAAAGGATATCTGAAAAACAGATGATTCATTGATTCCATTTAATCCTCACGCAAACAACATACAAGGTCTTGCACAGGGATGTGCAGTTGAAGTAGCCTATCCTTAGTTCATATTGTTCCTTTCTACACTAACTAGGCAATAAAATAGTTTTTAGGGATATTAATCCTCAACCAGATTATACTTGCAGCTGCCATTCTACTTCCCTCCCCCTGGAGCCACCTGTATCATGAGGATATGGTGTATTTGCCATTTCTGTTGTGCTTCCATTTCTCTTCTTCAAACCTATCTTTTACTTTGTCCCGCATTTTAAGAATCTGATTCCACGACCAGCTGTTGTCCAGTTTACTCTGCACCTCCCAAATGCTTTTCCTTCTGAGATAGATATCATGAATCCATTTCAGCAACAAGCTATCCTTCTTACTAGCCAACCACCACACCTAGTCCAGCATCATATATATTCAATCCTCCCTCGCTCTTCTTTCTACAAACCGTGTCCCAACAAACAAGGGCAGAGTATCTGCCTGATTCTCTAACTCCTCATAAAAATTCTCTGCACTTCCGATTAACTGCTTCTATCACACTCTGAGGCAGTATAAAGGCACAAGACCAATATATATGCATATGCATCAACACATAGTTTATTAGTTGGAGCCTTCCAGTTCCAGCATACGACAAGTGTCATGTGCTCCAGCATTTCAGTCTAACAATGATCTTTTCTACTAAGGCTTGACATTCAACCTGATTCCATTTGAGTGGTGATAATGAAACCCCCAAATATCTCATCGGGAACTTGGCAGCCTTAAATCCCATTATCTCACAAATTTCACTTATCACCTGGTCATCTACCCCACCCACAAAAATCTCAGATTTCATTGAGTTGGCTTTCAGTCCTCATGTTTCAGTAAATTCCTTCAAAACCTCCTTTATGTATTCAGTAGGGGCTGTATCGGCTTTACAGAAGATCATAAGATCATCAACAAAGCAGATATTTGAAAGTTTCATACTTCTACACAAGGGATGGAATTTGAATCCTGGTTTTTCAGTTACTTCCTTCAGCAATCTAGTCAAATATTCCATCGACAGTACAAAATCAGTGGAGAGATTGGGTTCCCGTCTTAGTCTCTTTTTCCCCTTGAAGAAGCTTACATTTGAGCCATTTAGACTAATAGAGAAAGAGGTTGATCTAACACATACTAGGATCCATTCCATAAACTCCCGAGGGAAACCAAAACCATCCAAACAATCCTCCACAAAGTGCCACTCTACATAATCATAAGCCTTTTGCAAATCTATCTTTATTAAACATCTACTACTAACCCTCTTTCTTCCATACAACCTAATTAGTTCCTGAGTGATTAGGATGTTATGCAAGATTAATCGACCCTCTATAAATGCTCCCTGATTCCTGACTATAAGGATTGGAAGTACCCTTTTTAACCTATCACAAAGAACTTTGGAGATAATTTTGTAAAGCAATTACATAAAGCAATAGGTCTATACTGGCTAGCCTGACATGCATTGTCTACTTTAGGAATTAATGCAATTATAGTGGTATTCAGTTATTTCAATAACATACCATTTTGGCAGAATTCCTGGATTGCAGCTAAGACTTCTTCTCCGGTTGATGGTGCCCATTCCTGATTAAGGCCCAAGGAGGGTTATGGGTAAGTTATTGGGCCGTAAGAGAAGGCCCAATAGCCCATATCAGTCTTAAACCCCCACACGGGTCCCTCTTTTGAACATACTCTAAATAGTGTCCTGTATATATCCCAAATATTTATTTCAAATGGTTAATTCACACTACTTACTCTCTCTCTAAATGTGTAGTTTGATTATTTTCTCTCACTATAATGACTTTGGCATCGGAGTGCTAACCCTTGTCTTGTAGGTCTCCGTCCTAGACGACCGTTAACTCGCTGCCATCGGGATTTGCCTTCGTCAAGTGGCGCCAACTGTGGGGAGGCATATACTTTGTCGAGGGTGAGCCCAAGTGCTCTACAAGAGTTATGGTCTCAACAAGGGCGAGACCTGAGGAGGGTCCTAGCCGACGCCTTACTGTCAGATCTGAGATAGTGAGGGAGTCGAACAGGCGTTCACCGAGGAAGAGCCTTGAGGAAGAACATGAAGAGGACCGCGCCTCCCAGACTGGAGAAAAGGCTACTCACTCACTACGATACTCGGACAAGAGACGTAGCCATTCTCAGTCGAAAGGGAAAGAAGAGGATCGCAGATGAAGGCAATCCCGACCGTCCTCGAAAGCTACCAAGACTCCCCGACCATCTGACCGTGGGCACGATAAAGACTTCTGGAAAGCATTCGCCCAGAGATAC